TATTAGTTTTCTACCGTAGTCCGAATAAGTAGTCTTTTTTAATCTATGTTATTTTTCAATGAAAACATAACTGGCATTTGATGTTTGCATAATTTAAAATGAAAAATTTTGTACAGCCGACATCAATATAAGTTATTAAGAATAACTCAAAAACTATTGGTCTGGCCTTGATCAAATTCATATGGGACCACACGAAGAAGTACCAGCTTTCAAATAAAAAAAGAGTCATCGAAATCGGTTCACCCAGTAAGAAGTTATGAGGTAACACACATAAAAAAAAACATACAGTCGAATTGAGTACCGTCTCCTTTTTGGAAGTCGGCAGAAAACAGGCAACATTAGGGTACTCGTACGTTACACGATATATTACATATTTTTTTCATAGAGAGAATAGGGTAATATTAGAAAGGCCATACAATAGGTAACTTTATAATAAACCCCTCCTTCCACTTAAATAAAAAAATAGTTTTAGCATAGAATACATAATAGTACTTATAAGAAGTTTTAGTTAAATTTTAAATTGTACCAAACCTGCACCATTTTAATTTAACTATTACATATTTAAAAAATTTACCCTACTTTTGCTGCCTTTTGTTCTTTTAAAAGCACTGGATCTAATCATACTAAAACTAGACTCGAAAGGTTGCGGAAAGTTAATTTCGTAAGTCTAATTAAGTTTCGAGAAACGTAATGGAATAAACCCTAACTGAGCCGCTTTTGTTTACAATGCCTTAATGAAGTTAGTCAAAATTTACCTATTAAATTATAAGTTAATTACCCACACACATAATATTATACATAGATGTTGGGGTGTCCAGGTGTACGCGTAAATAATAGAATGTGCCACTCAAATGAATCTCTCACTATATAAGAGTGCTAAACAATGAGCGGACACGATGTAACCATACCTTGTCCACAAAATTCATGTTCTTCTACTTTTTAAAAACAGATGAGACGTACGGGTCGGAAAGCCCGCTCTTACCGATGATATTGTTAATTGCAATTTTAAATACTGATTTACCACATGCTCGTCGGTGAAGGAAAACATCGTGAGGAAACCTGCATGTATGAACAACAAAATATTTCGAAAACATATGAAGTCCGCCAACAGGCACTGGAGCAGTGCGCCGGATTAATTGCTCCATAAATCTCTCAGAAATAAGGCATATGCTGATCAGTGGAACGTTATAGGCTGAAATTTAACTTTTTTATTTTTATGGCTCCGTGGCACAGAGGCTTAGCAATGAGTTAGAGGGCCGCGGGTTCGAATTCCGCACGGATTATATTGTATGGCCTACAAAAATTGTTCCGGGTCTCGATATATCCTTGTGAAATTTATGGATGTAAAATGCCCCCATGATACAGGAGAAAATCCTAGCGTCGAGATAATATTTCTTTTAAATAAAGAAGAAAAAAGAAGAAAAATTATACATATAAACTGTGTAAACTCAAGGGATGAGGTTTCACTTTATATATTAAAAGTCCTATTGTCGGTGCCGGCACCACTGAAACTTGCGTTCACTTTTACCCTGTGCACGACGGCGAGGGAAACATAATGAAAAAACATATTGTAATCTCGATTTTTTCCATAGGATATACCTTGTGGAAAAAAATCGAGATTACAATACTACGATGAGTGTAGGCCTGTGTCTGTTAAATTGCAGCTATGGAACAGGCAATTAATCGACTGAAATTCATTTCTTTTTTTCCATCACGTTGATTTCGATTAGGCAACAATTTCCGGATACTGCCGGAAGATATTAACTGCACAGTGCTGTGACATATGCATTATCTTTTTTTAAGGTGGAATTACCTTCGCAAAGTAATATGATTATCCAAAGTAAGATATTATACCTTCGCAAAGGGCAAAGATGAAGGAGCCTACCTACCCGTGCTCATGTACCATGTAAAATCAAAACCAAGACTGCTACTTTAAAAATTGCACAGCCTAATCCCATATCCTCCGATAAATAAACGCTATAAACGTTTTGCATACGTGATATACCTAGACAAATCACGAGATATGGCTTCAAAGGTAGAAGATGTATGGTACTGCATTCGCAAAACCATCTATCTTGAAGATTACAGCAAATGCACACAGCAACAGGAGTCTGTTGCGGACTTATGAAAAACTAGCTGTTCCCTGCGACTTCGCCCCGCGTGTAATTTAGGGTATTTAATTTTGTTGCGCGGAACCCTAATTATTTTTCTAAAATATAAGTAGCAAAACTACTTTTACGGATTTTATCGCGTTTAATAAACTTATTTTTTTATTTTTATTAATTCACCCGAAACGTCAGGAATTAATAAAAATAATAAAAATAAATTTATTAAACGCGATAAAATCCGTAAATGTAGTTTTATTCAATGTGTAGTGTTCGCGTAAATATAAGAAATCATTATATAAGTAGCAAATTTTACTGGAAAAGAGACATTCCATCTTAGTCCTTACGGGTGACAACGCATCTGCAATTTGATTCTTTATTGAGGATATCAGGTGGACTGTGTACTTGTTTGTCACCCTATCCTATAAAAAAGTCCTAATAACATGCGCTATCTACCAGTGAAAGTCCCGTCAAAATCGGTACAGCCGTTTCGAAGATTAGCTGGAAAAATCAGACAGACAGACAGACCGACAATTTTTTTTTTATTGTGTTTTTGTTATAAGTTCCGTATATACTTTCATATGCAATTAGTAAAAAGCTGTTATGTTGACATTATAAACAGACACTTCAATTTCATTTTTTTGAATAGATACCTAATAAAATCTTCGTACTACGTATTAGATTATAGGTAAATATAATTAATAAATTACCGACGATCGATTAAAACAGAATTTCCGTATGAATATTATATCAAATATTGATACAAAATGTGTAAACTTATTAATATTCAATTTTTGTTTTATACATTTAAAACCTAGTACATAGTACTTACCTAACATTAATATAAAAAAAAATTGCACAATTATCATTAAAGTTAAACATTTAATAAAAACAAAACATAAACCAAACTTAATATTTTATGTGGCTCTAATTGCTTCCAAAACTTAAATATCGATTGAAAGGACTGTCAGAAATATCTAACTCAAAAACAAGCAAAATGTTTTTCTCACCGATTGTAATAAATACGATAACAACCGTCTTCTGTGCTGTCTCTGAAATTGCAGCACTTCACACGACTTTCTGATTATTTCTTCTGGATCAGTAAAGTAGTCTTGTACCTCGGGATTCATCTAAAATTTAAACAGTTTAAAGCTAAAGAAAAATATGAATAACAATTATTTTAATATAATCTCATACTTACATCGGGAACAAGTTTCATAGTGGAACAAGGCACTCGACATACGAAACAAGTACTTTGTTTCGCACCTATAAATAAACAAAGTTAAGAGATTGTCAATAATAAAATAAAATCGAAATTATAAATTAAGTAAACGAACCATCGTCCAAGCAGTTGTTGCAAAACATATGACCACATGATGTTAAATGTAAAACAATTCCTTGTTCTAACTGTATGAAACATTTGTTACAATGTATCCAATCCATTTTATTTTCATTTCTTTATTGGGCATTACTGCGAACTTGAAGTGTTGTCAAAAATGCCGCCATTAAAGGTTCTTTAACGTGTCTGAAACAATTAAGCGCGTAACTCCTCAACCTCCCTGGTTTATGTCTTCAATTATTGAAATTTTCTATCACTAACATTTTTTGTATTAATAAAAATGGTAAATTAAAATAAATTAAATCCATAACTGGAATCAGAAAAAAAAACTAACTATTATAACTTCTTTTTTTGTTGATTATTAGTAATAATAGCAAAATAAAAACCTAATTACAAAAAAAGTATTTTTAATTATACAAAAGTCTTTAGTTTTATGACCGGCCAGTTTTGTTTTCTTTTTTGACTTGCATATATTTCTTTCATGACATTCCAGTTAACACAAAATGTTTATAATATTATAAACATTTTTTGTTAACCAGCAACCTGCTCCTGCAGACCATATTAACCACTTTACAAGGAATTACTAACAAATTATCCTATTGAGTAAGGAACAAACACAGATGTGCATCCGCCCATTACTTTTTCATTGACCGAGTACATGATACGAGACTAATAATCATACGCTCATCCGATGTCGCTAGGTGGAGTAAGGTAAAGTTCTTTGTTACACAGGTCGCACAGTGCCATCATCATTGAAAAGTTGTGTTTTAAATAAAAGTTTTTCGGTTTCTAGTGTATGAATATACATAAACAATGCCTTAGTGCTTCTTCTTGTTTTCTTTAATTGTTTACACATTTTTAACTTTTCTTTTATTCTTTACATTTATGAATATTCGTAGTTTGGTTTATCCATTTCTAAACAAATAAATATTAAATATAACCAATAATTCAGAAAGAAACATAATCTCTATACTTTTGTAACTAATCAATTTCCCCGCTATAAAATCTGTCAAATATTTCACCTCATTCCTCTCTAAAATCTGGCAAATATTTCAAGTGGCGGTGCTGCCGTGGATGCGCTCATTTTTATTTTACCTGTTACTGTCTCGCAAGGATGTAAATATCGTGTGGAAATTGCTTGCTATCCATCGTGTGGAAATTGCTGCATATCCGCGTACTGTGAAATTTACAGCAAACCACGGTTCTCCTGCATCCTACTGATCCTGCACAGCAAATTAATAATAAATAAAAAAAAACTTTTATATTTTTACTGAAATAAAGATAATTTCGCTAAATTGTTAAGTGCTTCGCATCACATACGAGTAGCTTTTAAAATAATTTCAATACGCTTTAATACTTGTTAGTATTTCAAGCATTTAACTTTGTCGAGTTAGTACTCCCTAAAAAGATTAAAACGACAGAGCACCTCGCATAGGCGTTTTATAAAAGCTACATCCAATAATCACATTAAAAGATAACATGAAATTAATATAAAAGTAGTTGTCATGTTGTCGACCAGCTCAGTGTTCGTTCGGGCGCGGATGGTCACAATGACCATGACTTTAAAACATCTCTTAGTTTTTTGTGCCTTAATCTGTGTAAATGTCAACGCGAAGTCATCATGTATGTTTATATTTTTTATTTACCTATACTTCTAGCAAAAATAACTTTACGTAATTTACTTTTAAGTGTATATTATTTTTCGATCTGGCCAGTTATAAAATATCAACCATTTTATGTTTATTTATTTTTTTATTTAGGGTTTAGTAAGTATGATTTCAAAATGGGAACACTATTGAAAAGAAAAACAAAAATAATAGTTTATTATGCTAATACATACATATTATGCACCACAGATAATATATTTCGTAATGTTTTTGAACCATGAACAGGTTTGGTTTGTAGACGTTAACGACCAATTAAAGAAAAACTTTTGCTCATTGCCTTGAGCAATCTGGTTTCCTTTGGCAGTTGATGTTTATTTTATGATGTATATAGTTTATCACTTTATTTCAGTTTATATTATCATTTTTATTACATATATAGATCATTATTAATAGTGGTCCCTTTTCTATTTGATAGGTTATTTATGTCATACTACATTAAAATTTTAATATTTATTTAAAAGTAAGTAGGATGTTTCACGTTTAGCTTGCAGCCTACGATAATTTAAACTTCGCTTTGTTTATACAAGTTTAAATATAATTTAAAATATTTTAACCAATTTGTGTTCCTAAAATTTTCAAAGAAATACACAACTTGGTCTTTTCATCCATAGCCTTTAATATGAAAATATCATGGGTAGGTTTTCAGTTTTAAAGTCTAAAGAAAAACACATACCTAAATATTAACTTTGTTTTAAAAACCAAGAATGTCTTTATTTCTAAAACATGAATTCTTAAAAAATAACTAATCTCGAATAATACGTTTATTTTATGAAAATTGAAAAGAAGTAATTAGTTTCCGAGAGATTATGACATATTTGTGCAATTAGTTGAAGAGATTATTCGTCCGTGGAATGCGTACGCGGTCAAAGTTCCTAAAGAAACTGTATCCCTAAGTCTACTACTGGTTGTGGCCACAGAAGACAAAAGGGATGTTTTTTTTTCTGTGTAGCTATCCAGCGAGGAAGCACAGCCAGCGTTCTTAGTTCCAATCGCGAAGATTAGCACTGTTAGAAAATTTAAATTTTTTGTTCCTTATATTGTAAAAAATTTTCATTTCACTATGATGTTATAAATAATAGATATACATACATATTATAAAATACAAATATAGTACATATATGATTACGATTAAATTATTAATTATTGCTGTTACGAAATAAACGATGTCACTCTTGTGAACAGATAAAATATGCGTGCCGGCGCAGTTCTTGAAGGCATGCGAGGAGATGTTGGACGTACCGACCAAGAGCAAAATTACCTTAGAATGTGTTCCAGCAAGGGATAGGTAAGTGCGATACTTATGTTATGCATATGTATGTAATACAATTAACCTATTTTAGTCGCTGACGATGAAAGTCGCCCACATCATCCCGGGGGTGTCGTAATAGGCGATAGAACGAAATAAAGAGCTGTTGGGTGGCATCTTTCTGATAACTACTCAAACTAATATAATACTGCTGTTGCCAACCCTGCCAAACGTTGGCAACATGCAAGTAAAATGCCTATGAAATCTTCTTAAAGTCGAATTGACTTGTATCTTGTACACGTATGCATGTCAAAGAACTAGTCGTTAAATATAATCATGCGAAAACTTCTATCTGGGTGTATTTAACCAAATAATAGATATGTTTAAGACAATGTCAACAGACAATTGGCGTGATGATCAGTATTCAAGTATTGCATTTTTTCTACGTGCTTAGACTGATGTTGTCAATACATTGTTCCCGAGGAATCAATAATTACCTACAACACAAAAATTTGTATTCAAACGTTTTCCTGTTACTATTTTTAGACGAGAATCTTATCATAATATGTTTTTTGTATGATTTTTTGTTTAAAAATCGCAGAAGGTAATAACGATTACGTTTAGAATTGTTAGGAAATTGAATATATAAATTCAATCATCGTCTGGATGATTGGCGGTCCACCACTGCTGTGCGATTTAGAAGATATTTTTTTCTTCGCACAACTTACCTATGGAATCGATTACCACCAGCAATTTTTCCAGACCGATACGACTTAGGGACCTTCAAGAAAAGAGCCTACTCCTTTTTAAAAGGCCGGCAACGCATCTGCAATTCCCTTGGTTCCCCTGATGTTGCAGTTGTTCATGGGCGGCGGTAGTCACTTACCATCAGGTGAGCCGCATGCTCGTTTGCCCCCTCTCATGTAAAAAAATAAAATATATAAACTAAGTCAGCTTTAATTTAACAGAAAGTAATTAAGAAAAATTAAAGTATGAATATATAATAGTGAAACTATTTGTGTTTGTGGCACAAATGAGTCGGCTCGGCCGGGGAGGGATCACGCTCTCACAGAATACCTGCGTAAAATAACAGCTTAATGCTGCTGTGTTTTGTATGTTGAATGTAGAGAACCGGAGACCCTTTTTACTGGACATAAGGTATTCGATCGTAGTCCTCAGGGCTGACAACGCATTTGCATTTTTATTCGTAATCGAGGATAAATGTAGATGTCTATGGGCCACAGCATCCACTTGATTCTATAAAAAAATAGGTGATAGGCATTGCTATCACCTATTTTTTGCACTACGTACTAGAGATGTCATTCTAAAGAAAAATGTGCGCTACTCTATGTCTTCGCGTATGCGCGGGAGATAATAGAGGCGCGCAGTTGATTTTAGCGCGTTGCGCCTGCGCGGTCAGTTTTTAATTTAATCTTTAACTTGAAATCTTGTAATATTAGCGCCGCTCCACACTGCATTTATATTGAAACCACAGACTAACTAGTAGATTGAAATCACACTAAATGATACACTGTACGGATTGCAGTACAGTTCGGTTGAACATAGTGTATGTTCGGATTGCGAAATCTAGTTCGTAGTACATATATATCGATGGTGATAGGATTTTTTTCTGCTTGGGAGTCTGTCTGCGTAGATTTCTTACCTATTTATACTACCAACAGCAGCCTGCACTGATGTGTTCCAATCTGAAGTGTATAAAGAATCAGTATAATTACAATCACAGCTTGTCATTCCATCTTAGCTCACAGAAGTGACAACACATGTATAGCCTTTTTTTGCTGTTAGTTTAATCTGTTAGTTGTTGTGCTAGTATCCACCACCACCACTAATCATCGGGTGGGCTATAGTTCGTTGGTAACATCAATTTTAAAAAATTAGCGAAGATGAAACGATCAGCTCTACTACCTTATCAGCTTGAAACTGCGATAACTCAAGCATCCGATTCATAATTAACCTCACTTGATAACTACACACTCAATGATTTTTTTTATTTTTTTTTCCTTACTGTATCACTATTAATTGTGGTCTTTTTTATTGAATTATTGTGACAAACGACGGACAAACTGTGGCCCATAGACATGTCCTTTATTAAAAATCAAAATTGCTGATACGTTGTTACCCCTGAAGTCTTAATACCAATAAAAGGGCTCTTCGGTTCTCTAAACTTACCATACGAAACACAGCAGCTTCAAGCTGCTGTTTTACGCTTATATGTGAGAGCGTGGTCCCTCCCCGGTCGAGCCGACCCATGCGTACTACGATCATAATAATAGAACTGTAGCGTGGCTCCACTAGGCATATCTTGTACAGTTTTAGGCGTAAAACATAGGCGTTAACACCAAGTAAACCTTAGTTGTATCGTTAACACTTCTAGCGCCTGTATTATAAGCATTTATTCTTCCACCTCAATACTTGAATAAGCAATATAAGTATAAACACGTCTAAATATTTACAGCTAGTTACATTGAATCTCTGATTTCTAAAGCACGACCTGTATCTTAAAATTCAGCGTTTTCACAAACATTATGCAGGGTCGGCTAGACATGTATAGGCCAGAAAAAGTAGCAAAATATAAACGAAGTGGAAAAAAAAAACGAAACGAATCGTTTTGAAACTTTTACTAAATATTACAAATTGGCGGACGCTGTATGAAAAAGCTAAAGGTCGCTCAGTGAGCTATGAAGATGAATATATGAGTTTCTGTTTGATAGAATCCCGTAACGATGTTAACCAAACCAGAGTAATTGACTTAGTCCAACAGATCTGTAAGGTGAAGTGTTAATGGGTCGGTCATATAGCTCGACGAACCGACAACTGATTGGGATTTTTTTTTACGTGGTAGAGCCATGCTGCAGCTAATGTTAGTAGTATAGTTATAGCACGAATGGGTCGATCGACCGGAGAAGCTCAACGGTGCTGTGTTTCGTATGGTGAGTGCAGAGACCGGAGACCCTTTTTACTGAAAATGTGATATTCCATCGTATCGAGGATAGATGTAGATATGTATGAACCACAGCAACCACTTACCATCAGTAAAAAAATGTAAGATTTTTCCGTCACGATCCCTTCTAACGTAGGTAGTCTAGACGGCCTTGGCGGCTATAAGGAAGCGAGGTGGATAATATCCATCTCCCTCGCAATTTTTCTTATCTTGCAATGAAGGAAATATTTTATTTTAAATGACGCTTCATTCATTTATTTGTATTTCTTAATCAATAATATAATAAGTTTAGCATTTACATTATTGATTAACAATTAATATTTCATTTATATATATTTTATATTATATTATATAAAACGATATGTGAAATAAGAATAGAAGGGGAGTTGGTAGAGCAAGTAGATGAGTTTGTATATTTGGGATGTGTGTTTAGCAGGGATGGTAGATATGATAAGGATATAGAACGACGAGTGAATGCAGGAAATAGAGTGAATGTATCTAATCTACACTCTATTGTAAAAAGTCAGAATGTGTCCAAAAAGGCACGTATGGCAATTCACAATGCTGTGTTAGTACCTACTTTAATGTATGGTAGTGAAAGTTGAGTGTGGCAGAAGAAGCATGAGAGTAGAATTAATGCTGTAGAAATGCGGTCATTAAGGAGTATGTTAGGGATGAATCTGAATGACAGAGTGAGAAATTGTTTAATAAGAGAAGAGTGTGGTTTGCAAGATGATGTTGTGACCAGGATTAAGAAAGGAATGCTTCGGTGGTTTGGCCATGTAGAAAGAATGAATGAGGAAAGAGTGACAAAGCAAATTTATGTTGCACAGGTGAACGGCATAGTCGGGAAGGGTCGCCCTAGGTGAAAGTTTATCGACCAAATTGGCGATATATTAAAAATGGGCCAAATCAAGAGTACCTTTAACCGACGAGCGTGTATGCGTAGGTATACGGATGTGGAGGAAGCGAGAAAGGTGTGTCAGGATCGTGCCAAATGGAAGTACATAATCTCTGCCTACTCCTCTGGGTGACAGGCGTGAGTGTTTATATATATATATATACATATATTATATAACATTAAATGTTATTATACATTTAGATAATATATATCAATAAAAGAAATAATAGAACCAGAGTTTTCCTGCACTTAATAGGTGACAAAGAAAGTTTTAACAACTTGCTTAAATAAAAGAATTTAAAACAAGTACCTATAAAATTTAAAAGTGGTTTTGAATGGTTCTTATTCAGTTTAAAATATGTTATATTATCGATATATATTTAACCTTACACCCATCGTTTCTTTCTTTACTTAGTTTTTGATGTTTTCTTGTTTTAGAGTACAATGTCTAGGATTCGTGCAACAAAGACAGGCGGACTTGGTTCCTGTGGACCCTGAAGACATGTACGTAGCGTCCAAACTGCCAAATCAGGACTTCGTTGTGTTCCAAGAGTACAGAACTGACGAGGAGCCAGACGGTAAATACTTGTTAGAAGTAATTTCACCAGATTATCTATAATAGCGGCACAAGCGAAATGAAATCGCAAATTTATTCAAAATAATTGTTTGATTTTTATATTCTATATATTTAATTCTATATATTTCTATAATTGTTTGATATTATTTTCGTAAGGCCACCGAAAGTAAAAGATAATTAAAGTTTATTCATAATAGTCTGAATTAGTTAATTAAAGAACTTCTTGAAAATGTTTAACCCCCGGCAAAAACAGAGGGGTGTTATAAGTTTGTAGTGTGTATCTGTGTATCTGTGTGTCTGTGTGCCTGTCTGTGGTAGCCCCTGTCTGTGGTAGCCCCTGAACGGATGAACCGATTTTGATTTTTTTCCTTTGTGTCGTGTTTTTGGCTGTTTCAAAAAAATCTGTTCAGCCGTTTGAAGATCATCAGCTCTTTTTGTTTCGGGGTTTTTTTAAAATTTTAATTTAAATTAAATACTTTTATTGTTGCTCGGCGGGTTCTTCCGTTTATCCACCCCAAATATCCCTAGGAATATTCGGAAACGTGTATTTATCTATCCACACCAGACGAGGTGGATAATCGGAATTTGTATATATTATTTTTCTTCCGATTTTCTCCCTTGGCTGTGTACAATCATTTATATAGAAACATGCGCCACTGCCCGCTACTTCCAGCGTCCTTCCCTAACACACATCCCTCGCAACACATTCCTCGCACACATCCTTCCCTTGTTTTGTATATACAAAAAACTCTCTCCGCTAAGCAGTTTCGACCAGAGCTGCGCTAAGCGAGGCTGGGTAAATGAAGTCATTCTATTGGTTCTTAACAAACACATCTCTCGCTACGCATCCTCGCACATCTCTGGTGGAAACGCAACCTTAAGCTGGTATTTCACTTCGTTCCCGGGCGATCGATCTATTCTTACTGCAGCTATAATACTCGTATAGCTGGAGCGTGGTTCTACCGTGTTACAAAAATGTTTCAAATCATTTCGATTATACATTTAAAAGAATGAGAAGTATTTTTATTTCATTTAAATCACTGTTAATTATTCATTGTATAGGTACACAAAAACTTTCTATTCAATGAATACCCGTAAATAATACGAAACATGAAACAAAAGACCTCATTATTTGCACTTTCCATTCGTCTCTCATTCAATTTCTTTTTTAGTACGATGTCTCAACAAATAACACCGATGTTTGAGAAACAAAATCATAACAACGCATAATAGCTATAGCTTTCCAACTTGTTTAGAAATAGCAACGTAATATTTAAATTGGAGAAAGTTTTAACAATATCTTTAGGGATTGGATAGACCTTCTGCTGATTAAATTTTGATTAAGGCTACACTTACTTCGTTTGATATAATCTCATATAATCTGAGTAGCTGTATATAGATACATCTATTTTGTATACTTATCACGCACTATTAAATTACATCAAAGTAAAAACATGATTATCAATCCCTTAAAGTCCACTATTGAACATGAACCGCTTTCACATATATTTTTAATACTAGCAATGGTATTAACACTACTAATAGGGAATATTAGCCACTCCTGGTAAGCTTAATCTCGTCAGATGACGGATTCGAACCCAGGATCTGTTGAGTTCGGTGTTCGCACCCTGCCATTAGGCTACTGTCGCTTAAGGATTCCCTATTTGCCATAATAGCCCCGCTTGATAGAGTTAGTGATGTTTCCCGTCACCAAAATTATTATTTTACATAGGCCATTGAAGACTAAGGAGACTCGAGTTTCGAAATTTAGACACTCGTGTTTTTTTTTCGTGGACTCGAGTCTATCTCTAGACTGATCCGTCATCCAGGCCTCGCGTAGGTACTCAATCTACAAACTTAAAAGTTTAGTATGAAATTAAATGTTATATGTAAATATTCATCAATGTTTATTTATTAAACAGTTTAATATTATGTACTTATATTCAGAACATACACTACAATTACAATAATATTAAAATCCCGTAAAAAAAAAAAGAGAGAGGTTTCAACAATTTTCAACAATTCGTACGTAGGTACCGAATACAAATATGGTATTAGCGCAATAACAAAAAGTAATGTTCCCTAAACAAAAATAAACTCTCATCATAAATAACTAGGTAGGTATGTAAAACAAGTTTATCCTATTTACCTTTCGTTTTAAAGAGGTTACCCCCACACCATTTGTCCTATATCGTAGAGAAGTTTTTCATACATAGTATAGTTTTCACATTATAAAACACCAATGCTCCACACAGATCAGAGAACAGACTGAACTTAAATTGTATTTCTTTTTGATCTTTCGAATAGTCGTCTATTACGTCATCACCAACATTAAGGGTGAAAGATTTTATTACGCCTCTACCACAATGCTCTGGATTTCAGTCAGAACGACCACGATAGTAAAACATTACGAAGAATCCCCGCCTTCCCTGTCGTTGCCTGATTTGGTGTTGCCGTACATAGAGAAATTCTTGATATTGTAGGGTAAATATTAAAAAATAAAAGGACCCACCAATAATACAAGACGGTCGACCTAAATATAAAATTATGGTATTTTCTTTATTTAGTCTTTATTATGCGCGTTGCATTGGTTGACAACGGCACTCATGTAGTTCGTATATGTTATGACAGATGGCGCCACTTGAGCTTGTATGAAGATATAAGTAAAGGGTTTAGAATGGAAAGAACCAGTTCCCTTTGTTATTATTTAGAATTAATTTAAATAATTTTGTTACAGCGGAATTCAGATATGAGGCAGTCATAGTGGTGCACAAGGACCTGCCGATCAATAGTTTAGACCAGTTGAAAGGCCTAAAGTCCTGCCATACCGGAATCAACAGAAATGTTGGTTATAAGGTAAGCGTTCACAGCCAGGCATGGTGATCGATCGTCGAATCGATTATTCGAAGAATAGATTTCTTGTTCCAAAAAGATTGATTTTGTTCTGAATGCATATGTAGTACTGAATCGATCCAGTGAATCGATATTTCACACCAGAAATCGAGATTTCATTTTTCTGTTTTGATAAGAACCATAAAATTACTTACAATTATCTGAACAAAACACTTTAAAAAATGTCAGTTTTCACTTCATTATTCGAAAACTCCCTAGATGGCTGTGTCAGTTTCGTTCGCCTCTTCTTAATGGATTAAAGAAATAAACAAAGAAGTAACGTTTGTAATCTGTGCTTTGTTGTATTTGTTGATATATGGTAAATACAAACTCAAAAAGTAAATCAAAAATCGATTTTTTGTGAAACTATGACTTATCATATTTTCATTATTTATATATATTTTTAATAGATAAATATATCCCGTTGTTGCTAACTTAGTCTGGTGATAAGAATAACTATAAATAATGCTATCTACTAACAGTAGCAATTAAGTAAAGCTCGGTATTTACACAAATGAGAATGGCCGAAGTGAAAACAATCATTATGATTACGGTTCTTTGTTTACCTTTTCGCCAGACCCTTAGTGATGTGAAGCTAGATATAAAAAATAAAGATAATAGAAATCTACATACTATAAAAATACACCGCAATTTTTATATTTAAATAATTCATACGTTTTTTGTGAAAAGGCGGTATAGTTAATGATACCATTTTATTAGAAATGGTAAACAGGGTAGCAACCCGAGCTCAATTTTTAATATTAGCTAAAAAGAGACAGTCATGCTTTGTTTGAGAAGATACTTTCTTAACATAAGATTCTTACGTTACTAAGGCATTTTTCTCAAGATGATGATTCTCAGTTTTTATGGTAAACTCAGTTCAACGCATCAAAATACCCCTTTTCATCTACGATGTTTGAAGACTCAACAAATATAGATTTTCTTATTGTTCAATAAAATAAAATTCCAAAGCAATCTCAATTCTACAAAATAATGTTACGTGCAAATTTAATAAAAGAACACGTAAAGAAAAAGCGTCAAGCAAAATTAAATTTTCTAAAAAAGAAAGGACGTCCTGAAGACTTATCGAGGCGTCCGCGGCCCCAATCTAATGTAAAATTGTTTTCCCCAAACATTCTTTCTAATTTTCGTAACATTTGGTGGGTTCCCTAAATTCCATGGAGTTTTTCTTTAGAACATAACTTCGCAGCTGAGTCAACATCGATTCACACATTATTAAAAGTTAAGGCCGTTGTGTATAAAACATTTTCATGTTCAAGAATGAAACATAATGTAATAAAAATTATAACCATGAAGGGGATTTTAATGGAAGTTTTGTGTTATAATGAAATTTTATGATCACCGAAATTGCGTTGCTGTATAAAAATATATGCTTACTTCAGTAACGATGTTTTTTAAACATAGGCTCTTTCAAATAACTGAATGTGAAATTTATAACAAAAAAATCCAGTCTACTTTTAAATGCTCCATTGCTATATTTAAATCTAGCGATCCGCCCCGACTCCGCCTGGGTACTGAGATCTATTAATGTGGCGTTATTTAAATTTGAAATAAATAAAGATGTCAAATATAACTTATATCACTTTATCGATTTTTTTTAAGAACCTCCCAAGTTTTCGAATAAAATAAAGCCTAGATTTCTCCCGGCATTGCTCTACCTGTTCGTGAAGTTTCATTATAATCGGTTCAGGCATATCAAATGACAGATGTCTTTAAAAATAAAATTTAAATGGTTATTCATTTCTTAATGATGTGCATATCCTCAAAACCACCTCAACTCAATACAAGACAGTTATTTCGATATCACATACAGACACTTCGACTTTAATTTATGTATTAATAAATCATAATTAAAAACACTACCGACGTAAAAATATTCATTATCGTCACTGCTGTGAGGCCTTTCACGAAACACAGTCATAGCCACGTGTAACCATTTACTTCATCCATAAATTGTTACTAATATTTCTTCTCCCCTTTTATTTAATAGCGTTTGTGAATAACAGGCGTTTTAAAGAATGCATGAATTAACATGACCAACTTAAAAGATTTGCTCATACTCTCCACGCACAGGCAGGTGACTTGATGATATCAGAACTGAAATCGAACCAAACAGTTTAATTCGTCATTCGTAATGCGTACAGAAAAGAAGTGGAATAATTTACTGTGGCGGCGCTGTTGTCGCGTCACAAGCGAAACCAAACTAAACATATCGACGCCTAAATCACGCTATCAAAGTTTCAAAGTACTGCGGTATATATAGAGCAACTGTACGAACACACTGAGCATCAACCGCTCCCCGAACCGAACTATTTGTCCGGTGGGAAATCTCCCACTCCTTTCCCTGGCCAAATTTCCTAATGCCTCTCTCTCTCTCTTTCTACCTTATAGCACTTGCCTACACACTCGGATAAAAAGAAACGATGCTTCCAATAGTAGGAAGGTTAATAAGTTGTAACTTCAGGTTTTTGTCTACAGATTCCTCTCACAATGATGATGAAGAGGTCAGTATTCCCCAAGATGACCGACCGCAGCATCTCGCCAAAAGAAAATGAATTGAAAGCTCTCTCAACATTCTTTACACAATCTTGTATTGTTGGCAAGTGGTCTCCTGATCCGAAGACTAACTCTGTTTGGAGTAAGTTGAAAAACGTAATAATTAAAATTTATTAGAATTCGTCTCATGAAAAAATAATAAATGAGAATTTGCTAATAATAATATAATAAATTGAAATAAGAAATCTAGTGAATAGAATCTGATTAAAGTAGCATTATTAACAGCAATTCCCCCTTAGATTCTCTTATATTGTTCCTAAATTAATATGGAATATCAGATAAAATAGTTGTAATAACTTTTGCATCCTCAGAATGATATTTTTAACTTTATGTCAATGCATAGGTACTCCCGCGATTGATTGATTGATACATGCATGCGTTTGGAGAGGCTAAGTCCAGCGTGGACTGATGTGGGCTGATCATGATTATGATGATGATAACTTTTGTGTTTTAGCGTTTGTATCCTTAATCATTACACAACTGTCGCTTATTACGCCAACTACCAATCTACACTTTATATTTATGCCACTAAAAATACAAGGCCTAATCTTGTACTCAATTGGCGCCTTAAATATTTGCAAGTCGAAATTCATTCGCAGAGGCTCAGTACAAACAGTTGTGTGCGCTTTGCGAACACCCGGACAAATGCGACTACCCCGACAACTACAGCGGCTACGAAGGTGCCCTGCGGTGTTTGGCTCATAATGGTGGGCAGGTCGCGTTCACTAAGGTCATCTACGTACGCAAGTTCTTTGGGGTGAGTTGTCTCTTGTTTTATAACTTCTATCATTTTCAAATCCAGACCGTTCAGGTACTCTAAACACGTACCCTATAAAATTTCATCAAAATCAATCAAGACGTTTAAACGACACCGGAATGTTATATTATATTACAAACACTAGGTGGCCGGTCAGACATTTGTTCTGATCTTTTCGACGACCTTTTGTCCTATGAAAAAATTCTTAAATTCACAATAAAAAAATATAGGATCACTAATTGGGATAAAACTATCCTATATCCTAAGTTGGAGCAAGCAATACACATTTACAGTTTCATTAAAATCGGTTGAGTGGTTGCGTAGATAAGCGTGAACGAACATTGTGACACCGGATTTCATATTTTATGCGTAGTAGAGCCATGCTGCAGCTATATTAATTGTATAGTTGTAGCACAAATGGATCGGCTCGACCGTGGACCACGCTCTCACAGAACACCAGCGTAAAATAACAGCTTAATGCTGCTGTGTTTCATATGGTGAGTGTAGAGAACCGGAGACCCTTTCTACTGGAAAAGAGGCATTCCATCTTAGTCCTCTCGGCTGACAACGCATCTGCATTTTGATTCGCAATAGGGGATGGATGTAGATGTCTATGGGCTGCAGCAACAGTGGTAGTGTTACCATCTGGTGGTTCGTGTGCTCGCTTGTCACTCTTATCGTATTAAAAAAAACATAGTAAAGTAAGTAATGTGACAGCCTATATAGGTACCGTGTAGAGTCGGTGTAAGAATATCCACTACCCTATATGATCCCGTGGGTGTCGTGAGAGGCGACAGAGAGAAACAAATCAGGAAATGGGCAGCAGCGTCTTCCTAATAACAACTAAAAATAAAAAATAAACTGACGTTGCCGAACTGCTTGTCAAGCGTGGCAACTATGGCAAATATCCCCCCTATGAGGCAATCTATAGGGGATACCTATGTTCAGCAGTGGACTTTAATAAGCTGTAACGGTAACGGTAACGGTTGGGCATAAGCCTTCTGTCATTACTGAGAGGGTTATGGAGCAATTAGTCAACCGCGCTTGTGTGTGTGCGTGCGTACATAGTCAGTTTGTGTGTGCGTACTTCACACATGTCCTAGAAATATTTTATTCCTCAGACATTCTGGTTTTTCAACACGAATTAAAACAAAACCGGCTTGCTTACGTACTATAGAAACGACCAGCGCTTAGCGTCTCGGTTACCGCGACCCTTACTCTCACAAAATACGAGTATTGTAAAGTACAAACTTTTAATGAGTGTTTAGAGAAACAATTTCTAGAAATTTAGACTAACGTAACTGTTTTAATTACAACGTGGTCCCGGAGGCGTCGTAAATGTCAACCAAGGAAAATACGAGAAAAATCTTTTGTTTTTTTTTTTAATAATTTTACGAGTTATCATAACAACTAATTTGTTACTCGTTTAATGACGAAAGAGCTTTTTTTCTTACTCATAACACTTTAGGGTAACACTTCTTGTAAATAATAGGTTGAGGAAATAATATATGTGTAATAAAAAAGTATTAATTTACAATGAACGCTCAGCTGTTGCGGACGGTGGTGTAATTTATCATGGACATTTTTATAGGACCTTTATGTGCACGTGACAGTGAACATTTTTTCACATTTCGCGCATGTTCCCGCCTTGTAGTCGCGTTAAGGTTTCATACATTTCAAAGAGACGTGCCCGAGTCGACATAAATATTCTCTCTTTTTCTCTATTTGAAAAAAAAAAACGTTACTCCCACACTAGGATTTACGTTTTAGGGTAGAGGGGTATTTTTCCACTTCCAAACCTATCAGAGCAGGAGACCCCCAAGGTTCGGTGCTCTCCCCGAACCTCTACTCACTCTACGTAAACGATATCCCAATAATGCCCGATACTCATCTTGCATTATATACAGATGACATAACACTATATATCGGATAGTAGCCCATTTAGAGTTTGCATCCGACTCCAAACTACAGTTAACACTAGGGGATTGGTGCAGAAAACGGAGAATTGAACTCAAACCCGAGAAAAGCAAGACTATCATGTTTAACACAAAATCTTGCTATAAAAATACACTTTTAAGAGTCAAACGACACAAGATAGGATAAATCTCCCTTTGCAATATCCCAATTCCGTAGGATTAAAAGGTGAAATATTTGGGGGTAACATTAGATAGTGCGATGAGCTTCATTACAGCTGTTAAAAATAAGGCCAAATCTATAGATAGTATTTAGTCTTTTCGCCTTAACCAATAAAAGCAGTAAGCTGTCCTTAAGACACAAACTGCATCTTTACAAAAGCTGCGTATGCCCCATTATGGTAGTGTCAGGTGTGTCCTTCGCTCACGTTCACCCTCACTGACTTCGGTAACTAAAAGTTATCCAGAACCTGTTCCTGAGACGAATCACAGGAACTCCATATTATATGAGGAACGCGGATCTTTACCGCGATCTCAACTTGCACGCAATTCATTCGTATCTTAAGTAATTATCCTTAAGATTCTTTAATTCGAGTAAAGAACATCCAAATCCGTTGGTGGTAGAGGCGGGTTCGTACTCCCCAGTGAGGGATGCAGCCCCTACCAGGAGAGGTCCCAAGGATGTCCTTGTTGACTCCGATGATGAGATCACTTCTATGAATAGGTCGATCCCGTCACAGCAGGAGAGGGAATCCGTTTATCTAACACTAACACACACACACACACACACACACCCACACACATTCAGACACTACACTAGTACAGAACATTAGGGCACATCGTGTTCGCCGGCGAACGCGAGGTCACAGACCCCGTTCACAAACCCCGTACACGAGGTTCAATACACGTGATACGGGGCGTTTTTAGTTTTGCGACCCGTCTCCCACATTGCGATAGTGGTTCAAGCCCAAGTTCGTACTGCCGAGATCGTTCGTCTGAGGGGCCCTTGAATCACATCGAGCCCCCCACCTAGCAAGAGGAGCCTCACTCTGAATACAAGGGCCGGGGTGCCTCGGGACTCCAGAATCGTTGTACTCAATAGCTCGTAGGTCCTCACTTACGAGCCAATTTCGCTGAAGCTGTAAAAGTCACAGGGCCAACAGCATACACTTTCAAAAGAAAAAAAACACTAGGATTTACTCCTGTATCGTCGAGGCAGTTTACATACATAAATTGCATAAGAACAAAAATTCTGACCCGAAGGAATTATTTGTAGGTCATACAAATACTTGTTCCGTGCGTGATTCGAACCCGCAAACGCAGCGCCGTAAGCCGTCCATATTGAATTAATATTCTTTTAAGTTATTATTAATTAAAAAAAAAGTTATTATTAAAGCTGTGGAGCGTTCAAATTTTGCAACAATTCCACATTCCAGAACGCGACAATCACTAGTTAGAAAAATCTTTTGTAATTCTACGTTCTTTGCGAACATACAGTATCTAGTAAATAATTAAAACCAACCCACAACGAAAACCAGTTGATTGTAATCATAAATACGTTTGGAACAGTGAAGCAAGAGTGACAAACGAGCACACAGTCCACCTGATGATGTGTGAATACTGTAGCACATGGCATCGTCACCTCTGAGGACTAAAATGGAATTCCTCATTACCAGCAAAAAGGGTATGCGAAACTCACCGTACGAAACACAGCAGTGTTATGCTGCTATTTAATGCTGGTATTCTGTGAGAGCGTGAACCTTCCCCGTTCGAGTGCGGCACGATATAATACCTCGTAATGAAATATCGGTTTGAAAATTAACATAATCTCATGAGTGTTCTTTTCAACAGTTTGTCATTTAGAAGTTCTGTGCCCAAAGGTTCAGCACTAGTAAATTTAATAGGTTATTTAAATTCAGAATATTTCAGCTACCCGTGGGAACGTCTCCAGCCGTCCCGTCTACGGAGAATCCTGACGATTACGCGTACCTTTGTGTGGATGGCTCTAAAGTGCCGGTCAGGGAGAAACCTTGTTCATGGGCTGCCAGGCCTTGGCAAGGCTTGTTGGGGCACAACGATGTGTTGGCCAAACTCTCGCCATTGAGAGAGAAAATAAAGCAGTTGGCTGATGCTGGTAAGTACTTTGTATTTGAGTAATTTAACTGAATAGCAAGCTTAGAATGGATTAGTAAGCTGAAGTGGTATTGGGCCGGCCATATAGCTCGAAGAGTATACATATTTTATACGTGGTAGAGCCATGCTGCAGCTATATTAGTAGTATAGTTGTAGCACGAATGGGTCGGCTCGACCGGGGAAGGACCACGCTCTCACAGAATACCAGCGTAAAATAGCAGCTTAGTACTGCTGTGTTTCGTACGATGAGAGTAGAGAACCGGAGATCTCTTTTAGTGGAAACAAGGCATTCCATCTTAGTCCTCACGGGTAACAATGCACCTGCATTATGATTCTTTATTGAGGATAGATGTGTGCTCGTTTGTTTCCTTATCCTATAAAAAAAAGAACCGATAACCTATGGGGAAAAAATTCTCGAGTGGACCTCGTACCGATAAGTTTGGGGACCCACTAGATTGGGTGGCAACCTGGTAAGATATGGATATGAATAGGAAATCGATAAATACATGTGTCTCAAGACGTTGCTTTGTGGTATTCCTTAGGGGAGGCCTTTGTTCCGCAGTGGCTTGTGAAAAGACTGTAATGATAATGATGATAATGAACTGAATAATAATAAGATAATACAAAAAGATCTCAAGGATTCCTTCTCCCGTTCACACCCGGCGTAAGCAAAGACAAATGAGCTTACAGCGATCGTCAATCAGTTTCGACTCGATATTTAATTTGACAATAGAAATAAATCACAGGAATATTTAATCCAATTTAAAGCGTTTCTTATTCTAAAAACACATCAAACTTAAAGTTTGCTAGATTAATATATCTCCCTCGTTAGTTTCAAGTAAATTAATACACAGAACTTCATTTGAATTCCATTGTCTGCGCGATGAGGCCGCCTCTAACTGTTTCACTAAAGTATAGTCAGAAGATTCGCAAGAACGCTTGAAAGCGAATTAATTTGCATTCAGAGCGCTACGAGTCTCGCTGAATAATAGGTTTAACCACTCTTAATCACTTTTCTTGTTCTAATTTGACATTTTATTGTGTAAAATATATTACCACCTTATTTTTTGCTCATCTGTAATTTTTCTTAAGATAACGTTACTAGGGTAACATTTTTTAAAAGAAATAATAATATTTATTTTAGAAAATATTAAATCTTAAAATAACGTTATTCCCACAGTATAATTTTCTTTTTTTACGAGCAGGCGTTTCGCATACATAATTACACATTTTTTTTTTATTTTTTTTTTTTTTGCGCCCGAAGCAATTGGAAATGGGCTACCCCGAAGGGAGGCAGAAAATGCATTACGCATACCACGATGGCCGGTCCATCGTGGTTATGTGGGACTCACTACCTACGAGGGGAACCTAAGTGATACCCTCTAAAAACTGCCTTTGGGGACTGGCAACTAGCTGTTTAAAGCTGCACATGCCGTATCGTAAAGCGACCCTCTTTTGGGAAAAGAGGGCGCAGGCGGCTATAAGCCGCTGAGGGAGTGCCTGGGAAGGCAATTTGATTGTAAAAGGTTAATTATTTATGAAAGTTTAATTATGAAATTGACTGAGCCACCAGGAGGTAGTTCAGATCGTTTGACAGAGAATAGGCGGGTTCGAGTGGGAGTTCCTCGGCCTGCGGATGCGATAGCGAGAGGGAGTGGGGTTGCACACTTAGCTACCTCACGAATAAGTATGTTTAATGAAACTCTGAGACTTTGAAGAAGTTTCAGAGAGTTTTAATTAGTGAGTGCCTACGGAGGCAGTTTTAACCCGACGTATTTACCTTACGATGAAATGATAAAAATAATTTTATAACGTACTTAAAAGATTATGGTGCTCTGTAAGAGCAAGGAGTCTGTCCTGAGGGGACTTGGCAGCGCGCAATTTGCGTGCTAAGACTGTGATCTCCGCAATGTTGATGTTCTTAATAGCGGCGTACACCGTATTTAGATCATCAGCCACTGAGGGTTGTTCATGCTGTGCAGCGGGGGACGACCGCGGAGGGTCGGCCTTTTTGGGTCCCCAGGGAAAGACTGGAGGCTGTAATGGTTGCGAGAAGCCCGGAGGTGGGCGAAGAAGAGGGGGAGGGACCCGGGAGGGCCTTGGGTCTACCTGAGATGGGCGAAAATATCTCTTAGGTGGCAATCTTGACGGGAGGGCCGGGAATGACTTAGCATTAACCGGCGGTGGAGCGTGCCTAATAGGGCGGGGGTGAGGTGCGCAAGGGCAGCCTCTGTAGTTAGCCGGGTGGCCTGTTTGTTTGCACAGGACGCACGCGGGTGGGGATTCGGCATTTTTGGGCCGGGGACACTCTTTCGTGTTGTGGGGGTCGAGGCACTTAACGCACCTGGGTGGGGCGGAGCAGTTGGCCGCCGCATGACCATATAATTGGCAGCGGTGGCACTGCGCCGGGTAGCCGCGCCTATGTGGGAGCTCAGCCCTAACTCCCGACAGCCCACACACTGTGCGTAACTGCCGGAAGATAGTCTGTGCCTCCGGAGCGTTTGAAAGAATAACGAGAGCGAGGGGGAACCTCAAGCCCGTTCTGCTGTGCATTTTATGCACAGCCTCAACCGGGAATCCTTGGGACTTAAGGTCCTCAAGGATTTCCTCGTTGGAAATTTCAAAAGGGACGCCTCGGATGACGGCCCTGATTTTGCGCTCTTCCGGAAGAGCGTACGTGTGATAAGAGACTTTCTCGGCTGTGAAGAGCCTGGTGAGACGACGAAAGTCGTCGACAGATTTGGGGATGATTTTAATAGCCTCCCCGAGGTTGGTGGCTTGGTCGTATTTTATTCCTGCGTCGTAGCAGGTTTTGGAGAGGCGGGTGAATTGTGCCTTGTCTCGTAAGAAGACAGGGGGCGGGACTTGCTTCTTAGTCGGGTTAGAAGCACAGCGGGAGGCCGGCTTGGGCAGTGGTGTCGCGGAAACTGCAGCGGGAGCTGCGGGGACTGAGGCAGCTACGGGGGCTGCGGGGTTTGCGGGGGCGGCAGGGGCCGCCGAAACGGTGTGATTTTTCGCGGCGCGTTTACGGCGCTTGGAAGACACTGTCGTGAACTCCGATTCTTCGGATCCGTCTGAGTCAGACGACTCCGTAGAACCGGAGCCCCGGAGCGTGGATTCTGAGTCGGAGTTGGAGCACTCGATGTCTACTTCGAGAGGCGCGAATGAGTTCTGGGACTCAAAGTGGGCCGCTATAACGGGCAGATGTAGGTGTGCCAGATTGGCGGAAGCCAGAATGGCGGTGATGGCTGCGGTAAGAGCCTTCGGGTCATTACGGAGCCTAAAGTAAGTTTCGGTGAGTGAATCTATCAAGACGAACATATCCGACATTTTCGGTATGAATGTAAGTTAAGTACGTTAGGGGGACAAGGGGACACTGTTCTGAAAAGAACAGATCGTATTCTTAAGAAACAGTAAGGGCGGGATCACCGTTCTGAAAAGAACGGGACGGTTTTATTCGAGGAGTTGTGCCCTGGTTCTCAAAAGAACAGGGCCTTGCTCTGAAAAGAGCAAGTAACTCCCTTGAAACAATATACACGTTACAATAAATAACAATAAAATAATTACAAAAACAAAAATGACAATTAAAAAGCAAGACCAACAGTCAAACCGCCCCGCCCGGAGACAGGGAGGTAATAACTGGAGTTAGCGAAAAAGGACTCACCAGGCGTCGCACTGTACAGTGCGAGCAGGACAGCGGAGGCGCGAGAGCGAGAGAGCACTACCGTACGGGGACGGATGTGCGGACTACCTAGACGCGACCGCTCGAGAGCGGTGCCACAGGCGGAATGATAATTACACATGGACAAACATCCATAATATATAAGCACGTGTTCCGCTCGGGATGAGAACCCTGCAGCGCCGCAAGCAAAAGCTTATCCTCTACGCTTAGTAGCGCGGTTTATTTAAACATTTACGACCAGTATTAAACAACACAAGTGGTAAAATTAAAAATTTTGTACAACAGACTTCAATATAAATAAAATGAGAACATCATCAATGTAGTCGAAGTCAATTAAATACGCATTATTAAGGATAACTCAAAAACTACTGGTCAGGTCTTGATCAAATTTATATGGGACCACATGAGGAGCACCATCTTTCAAATAAAAAAAAGAATCATAAAATTCGGTTCACCTTGAAAAAATTTCTAAGGTAACACACAAAACAATACAGTCGAATTGAGGACCTCTTTCTTTTTATGAATTAATTTGCTAATATATAAATTCTATTAACATTATTTTTTACCTAATAAGTATATATATTTACGCTGGACGATTTTCCATCTGAACCGCGTCTAGGTACTATTTTCGAAAGTCATTAAGAATCAATTCGCATGCAATCTTGATGACTTTCAGCCTCCCGAATAAACTGGTTTCACAAAGGCTTTTAGTACCATTGACCACACAAATACCCTTTGGCAAATTATCCAGAAGACAGAAGAATACAATCTGTCTTGCATATGTATGAGAAAGCCTTTGAAGCCGCCAAAATTGAGGCCATGCTACAGTCTCTCTCGAAGTCGTATCTCGGTACATCGAAGTTCTGAAGTGTTTGTACAGTTACGTACGAGTACGAAACCTATCCAACTGCAGAGCGGTGTAAGCCGTTTGAAATGGGTGAAATGATACACCATCAACATCAACGGCGAGAATATCGCTCACCTTCGATTTGCTGACGATATAGTATTTATGGCAGATTCGCTGGATAACTTCAGCACTATGCTTACTGAGCCATATAGTGCCTCCCAACGAATAGTTATTAATATGAACATGAACAAAACAAAGATCGTGTGTAACGTCCATATGACATGTATCCCTGTAATTGTTGGGGGCATTATTTTATTTATAACTACCTGGCTTTGCGGCTCTGGGTTCAAGCCCTTCTGAGCCTGAAGTTACAATGTATAATTATCCTTCATAGTACACTGCTTCACAATATGTTGATGCGTCACATTGTGCAGCCCTTGGGATATTTTGATGGCAACTTGAGCCAGTAGACTGCTGACGATTGGCGATGGTATCTCAAGGCGCCGAAGCAGACAGACACCATATCTTGAGAATCACATCACCATCAAAGCACTTGTTTCACGGTTTCCACTAATAGTTCACGTGCGCAGCCGCTTAATACACAAAATCGCACCACTTTTAATATCAAAATCCACTTCAAACTATTATTTAAACTATAATACAAGAGCAGCAATCCCTCACCGTTCAAGTTTCCGCCAAAATTACTTGGGGGCACTATCCCCGAAGTTATTATAGAGTATTTTACCATTACATCCTATCAAAAGTCCAGTGCCTAACATAATCCTCTTCCATAGATTTCCCCACAGAGGAGGATATTCGCCATAGTTAACACGCTAAGCAGGTGTGCTAGCTAGTAATGAAGATGTCCACAGTGAAATCAGAGTAACCGTTATATCGCAACGGATCAGTAAGCTGAAATGGATATGGACTGGTCATATTTGGTGGCTCCGTGGCGCAGTGGCTTAGCAATGAGTTGCAGCGCTAAGGGGTTGTGGGTTCGAATCCCACACGGAACAAGTATTGTATGGCCTACGAGTAATTGTTCCGGGTCTGGATTTATGTAGATAAATTGCCCCCACGATACAGGAGAAAACCCTAGTTTGGAGGTAAGGTTTTTTTTTAATGAAAGAGAAAAAAATATAACTTGAAGAAACGATAACCGATGGGAAAAATGTTTCTCGCGTGGCAGCCTCGTGCCGGCAAGCGAAGTGTAAGGCGGCTTCCACCATTATCTTCGTCATCAGCCCATTTTTACTGGAAACGAGGCATTCCATCGTAGCTCTCTGGGGTGACAACGTATCTGCATTTTGATTCTTAATTGGTCTATGATAGTATATAATAGGTCTATGGGCCACAGTATCCAATTACCATCAGTTGGACTGTGTGCAACAAGCACACAGTCACCCTTATTATAATTAATAGAATCAGGCGTTACTTTGCAGAAGTCCATTATATTAAAGTTGACAAAAAATTACTTTGCGTACATCCGCTTGATAAAATAAAATGATGTGTCTTACCTAGTTTTAAGGGCACCTTCCGCCCGCCCTCAATTGCGTGCACTATCCCCGACACCACTAATCCCAGCACCACTACTCCCAACACCACTACACTAGGAAAGACACATCACTGACGAAAATACGACACGTGTTTCGCCTCTACATGAGGCATCTTCTGGCGATGTAGGCTCTGCGATATCTGATCGCTAAATAGTGGTACATCACCTGAAGATGCCCCGATTTTATCTTATAGAGCGGATGTACGCGAGGTACTTTTTACCAACTTTAATATAATGGATTTCAGCAAAGTAACGCCTGATTAATTAACGTAGGCTTTTCAAAAACAAATCCCGCTGAGTATCTATCTAGCTAATCCTTTCCAGGATAGAGGTATTTTCCGAACCAGTGGTAAATTAAACATAAGAGTGACTTTCAATAAATATTATTTATAATCTATATTGAATAAAAAATTTATATTTCTAACCCATCACTTGGCGATTCCGTAACCAGCTATAATAAAAAAATCATTATCATTTTAAAACCTTGCTATAGGCGCAAGTAGCAAACCGGACTGGTTCACGAACGTACTAGGACTATCAGACAACATCCACCACGTGGCCGACAACATCCCGATCAAGCCCGCCGACTACCTGAAGAAGGCTAACTATACGGAGGTTATCGAGCGAGGACACGGCCCCCCGGAACCTGTCGTCAGGTAAGTTGGCTATATCATAAGCACGTAAACAATCACCCACCTATAAGATCTTCTATTATTTAGAAAGACTAGGAACGTGTGAAAAAAGTGATACAGCTTGACTCGGGCCCAAAAAGCCGCGGCAGACCCCGACTAACATGGATGTCAGTTATTAAGAAAGACAGTTATTAATATTTTGCAAGTAGTAGAGCTATGCTGCAGCTATATTAGTAGTATAGTTCTAGCACGAATGGGTCGGCTCGATTGGGGAAGGACCACTTTCTCACAGAATACCAGCGTAAAACAGCAGCTTAACACTGCTGTGTTTCGTATGGTGAGTGTAGAGAACCGGAGACCCTCTTTACTGGAAAAGAGGCATTCATCTTAGTCCTCACGGGTGACAACGTATCTGCATTTTGAATCTTTATTGAGGATAGATGTAGATGTCTATGGGTCACAGCAACCACTTACCATCAGGTGGACTGTGTGCTCGTTTGTCACCCTATCCTATATAAAAAAAGACCTCGCCACAGATAGTATGGACCCACTGACGTCCCAGAAACGGCATCTCTGTAGAAGGGTAAGGAGACACGACCCCAATTAGAAATGAGACAAGGCCTGAAGAAGACAAAGTAGAAAGACTAGGAACGCTATAAACATTACAAATACAGCTGTTGACCTCTCTAAGTAAACTTAAAAATTCTAGTGTTAAGAATGGGTCACAACATTAGTCGAATAGCGGATTCAAATCCACGATATTCTTAGTTGACCATTAGGCCTACTGTCGCTTGAAATTCGACTAATAATTATGCATAAATTTCTTCCACTAAGGTAGTATTGCTATAATCGATCTTAGCAGGAATTGGTAATTACAATATCTACAAAATGATACTCTTGAATGCAACTCGACGTCGCCGGTCTGGCATATAGTCTGTCTATTTTATTACAGCCTATAAAAGTCTCTGTCTATGTGTGTACCTACGTGTTAGTTGTGTATGTTCGTAAACTTATGTGTTTTGTACATGTTGGGTATTATCGTCTCTAAACCAATTTTATTCGACGCTTAATTGTATAATGAAATAGTTTCTGCGGGCTTAGCTAAGATGACTTTCTACGATCGTTAACGCTATAGAAAACTATATAAATAAATGACAATGACATATCTGAACGTTAAGTCACGTGACTTGCGTTGATTTTATTCACTTTTATAGTTTTCTTTAGCGTTAACTTTACTATGTCATCTCGGCTAACCCTATTGAGCTGATTTTTCTTAACAATACATTTCTTACATAAAGTGCGTACTTCTTTTAATTTTAATTTTACATCGAAATACAAGATATTCCATTTAATTCAAAATGATTCGAGAAAAGACGCTTTAACGACGCAATCAGAGTAAAAACTACATGAAATTTACTACAGAATGTGCGTGACGTCACACCTGGCGCTGGAAAAGTGCCGTCTGATGTCGGTTTTCGCGTTCAGCAGAGATATCCGGCCCAAGATCGACTGCGTGCAAGAGGAATCAGAGGACGCTTGCCTAAAGAGCGTAAGATTTTGTTGGAGTCCATACGATAATTACTACACGAAGTGCTTCTAGAAATTATATTGGAATTAATAAAAGGAGACAAGAAAGAATAAAGAAATTATTTCTCATGAACTCTTATCATCTCCTCTACATGAACCATATTTTAGGGTCAATATATAAAGAAGTCCACACTGAACTGAACTTCTTATGTTATATAGACACTTAGCATTTTGTGTTATTAACACCAAGCATTTTTATTAACATAAAGTATAGGATTTTACGTTACAGCCTATTATATATCCCACTGCTGGGCACAGGTCTCCTCTCATTTCTGAGAGAGTTTTAGGGTAAGGAAAAGTCCGCCGCGCTGCCATAATGCGTGTTAAGTATACCCTACCTACAGCCTATATACATCCCACGGCTGTATATATTAATTTTCTTACTTCTGAATGGATTATAAAACAATAAATCTGCCGCGCCGCCAATGTATGCGGACTTCGTATGTCCTCGAAAGCTTTATTCCTTAGCCAAGCTCGTGATAAATCAGCACCTTAAAATGGCATTTAACAGTTGACTTGAACACGGGTTGATCGCGCACTTCGAAATTCACTGCGAGCGTTTATCTCCTAAACTACCACGTCACTACTCAATTAAGTAATAGTAATATGAGCCCTTTTTAGGGTTCCATACCTCAAAAGGAAAAAACGGAACCCTTATAGGATTATTTTGTTGTCCGTCTGTCTGTCTGTCTGTCAAGACCCTTTTTCTCACGAACGCGTGGAGGTAGCTGAAATTCATATCATATACTCAAGTCTACTGTCCCTTAGAGCTGTTACAAAATCAAAATTCTAAGCCAACGCAATCAAAAGATACAGCCGTTTATGCCGCAAATTTTCGACATTCGAAAGGGAATCAAAACCTACAGGGTACTTCCCGTGAACTCAGAATCTTAAAATTTGGTACGAAGCAACGTATTGTAGCACAAATAAAGGAAAAATTGCGAAAAGCATAAATTTTTAGTTACATCATATATGTAATAAAAATAATTTTAATAATTTTAAACTTATATACCTACGGATTTGTTCGGAATCCTCGGTGCGCGAGTCCAACTCGCACTTGGCCGGTTTATTTTCTGATTTGAAATTAAATAAAGGTGCAAGACAACGGATCGGACCTAGCTGCCGTGGACGATATGAGAGTGGCGGCTGCTTCCAAGAAATACAACCTGCATCCAGTATTCCACGAGGTTTATGGTGATGCCAAAACGCCCAACTATGCAGTGGCCGTCGTCAAGAAGAACACGGCTATCAACAACATTGAAGACTTGAGGGGGAAACGGTAAGTCTGGTGTATTCAAATTTTCGCTATAAGGAAACATTAATTCGTACTGTCTATTCTTTCGTATATAAACATACAGAAAGACAAACAAACAGACAATTCCAAAAATTTGTAAAAATGGACTTAAATATTGATTTTAAGCCTCCGTCAATCATTTTTATCACAAAAATGTACAATGTACAGACACCTGCAGTTTATCTTTTCTTATATTTCCTTTTCCTTTTTCCTTTTTTTTTTTACGTTACCCCCACACTAGGATTTTCTCCTGTATCGTGGAGGCAGTTTACAAACACAAATTTCACAAGGACAAACATCCAGACCCGGTACAATTATTTGTAGGCCATACAAATACTTGTTCCGTGCGGGATTCGAACCCGCGGCCCCCAGCGCAGCAACTCATTGCTAAGCCACTGCGCCACGGAGCCGTCAAATGTATATTAAGTACATGTATATGTGACATTTCTTGCTTGTAAACTTTAAGTATATAATTACAATAGTAGAATAGAAAATAGGTAATATATTTTATAATCTAAGATATTCTTAAACATATTACAAGGCTTCCAAGTAAAGAAAGATAAAAGTATGCTAAATCTAGTATTACAAACTTTGCTAATGAAATTAACATTGCAGCTGCGGCTTATGACATAATAATAATATAATGTCCTCCAGACAGAGTTCGGTCACGGCGGTCAAACTCAATGGAGACTAGTAATATGCGCGAGGCAGGATTATAGGATTACGAGTGTGTGCGAAAACACAGGTGCACCTTCTCTATTCACTCACTCCCATAGTCGGTACAGACGGGTATCTGACACGACCGGAGAGGTCAGGTGCAAGGATATTACGTGCTTTTCGAGATACAAGGGTGAAACACCACCAAGTCTTCCTGATTGCGCGCTGCTATTGAGAATTTCTTGAAAGAAAACCCTAATAACTGAATTCTGCCCCGACTCGGGATTCGAACCTGGGACCACATGAACGGCAGTCGTATTTACAACCACTCGACCAACGAGGCATCCAAGACATTATACGAATATTTGCATGCCAAAAACATTTTTAGTGGCATATGTAATCTCTACCTAACCGCGGTACGAAGCCGCGGTAGATAAAAGCGGCGATTTAGAGTGCTTTCTCATTTAAATATTTTATTTCACATCTATGTAAAACATTTTTGTTTGCGTCACAAAACACTACCGTAATACAACCATTGTTTATTTAAAACGTGTCTCACCAAAACCCTACTGAGTTTTTAATAATTTTTAATTTTGTTGCCGTTACGGAATCTGAATGACAGGGTGAGGAATTGTGTGATAAGAGTAAAGTCTGGTTTGCAAGATGATGTTGTGATCAGGATTAGGAAAGGAATGCTTCGGTGGATTGGTCATGTAGAAAGAATGAACGAGGAAAGAGTGACAAAGCAAATCTACGTTGCAGATATGAACGGCAGAGTCGGGAAGAGATGCCCTAGGCGAAAGTTTATCGACCAAATTGGCGATATATTGAAAATGGGCCAGATTAGGAGTACCATTAACCGACGAGCATGTATGCGTAGGTGTATGGAAGTAAAGGAGGCGAGAGAGATATGTCAGGATCGTGCCAAATGGAAGTTCGTAGTTTCTGCCTACCCCTCTGTATGAAAGGCATGAGTGTTTATGTATTACCGTTGCGGCCCAATACGTGGGTCACGGTTTTCACCCAAAATAGGGGTGGCGACTAATTTTATTATTTTTATTATCTGTGATCATAAATCTCAGATGCTGTGCTCTCATCTCTTATTAGGGTCGATGCCTTGCTTTTGACTTTTGTCAGATTCCGTACCCCAAAAGGAATAAACACAATTCTTGTTGTTTCCGTCCGACCGTCGGTAGTTACTTCAATCCGACGTGCATTTTGGTTAGAGCAATGTTTGGTGTACTTCGGAGCATGCGGCTCATCTGATAGCAAGTGACTACCACCGCCCATAAATAACTGCAACACCAGGGGAATTGCAAATGCGTTGCCAGCTTTTTCAAAAAGAGTAGGCTGTTTTCTTGAAGGTCGCTAAGTCGTATCGGTCCGGAAAAATCTCTGGTGGTAATCGATTCCACAAGAAAGTTGTGCAAGTAATAAAACTTCTTTTAGTTGCACGGTGGTGGACTGCCAATAATCCAGATGGTATGGATGGTATCGCGAGTATTGTCGCGATGTGCGATGGCAAAATTGAGAGGCTGGAATTAGTTCGAACAATTCTTCAGAGCACTCCCCGTGGTAGATGCGACAAAATACGCAAAGAGGTGCAACATCTCTTCGCAGTGCCAGTGAGTCAAGCCGATCTGCTCTGCGCTGGATGCGGTCAAGTGGAAGGCGCTGGCACTGCTCCCTGCCCAGAGATGGGAACAGTATTCCATGTGGGACCGAACCTGCGCCTTGTAAAGTTGCAAGCGGTTGAAATTTTGCGTGCTGACTTACCACGTATCCGGTGAAGGGGTGAAGAATAACTTCGTGGGCAAACCTAAATGCCTGAGTAGTTAAAAAGTCGTGGAAATGTGAAAACCGTTAATACGCAGTGAAGGATTGCGGCATACACTTTTCAGCCCACAAAACACTATAGGAAAAGAGGAGTCCTGTGCACAGTATTGAGACGTATGAAAGCTGCTACTTTAGATTGTTTCACTGTTGTCAGACTGATTTATAAGTCTCATTGATACCTTCAATGAGACTTATAAATCAGTCTGTCATCATTGAGTTATATGTACTACGTACTAGAGAAGCCATTTCAAACAAAAATTGTGTCCTACTCTATGTCTTCGCGCATGCGCAGGAGTAGTAGTCGCGCATGCGCGAAGACTTTAATTTAATATAAAATAAGTTATTAATATAAAATAAATATAAGAATTTAATATAAAATATCTTAATTTAATCTAAACAAACATATTTCTAAATAAAATTTAATAATAATTATTTTATGGAATTCACAAATCTTCAATTTACGCAATATTTAGTTTGTATGGATTGCACTACAGTTCAGTTGAACATAGTCAATGTTCGGAATAGCTTCTCTAGTACGTAGTACATATAACTCAATGTCTGTCATTTAAGATTTTTGTATTTTTGAGTTTTCATATTATTAGACAAATCAAGATTTTTGTGACAGTCCTGGTTCATAGCTCACATGAGATATGTAAACGTACAGGCTGTTGCGAAAAAATATTTTAAATATCAAAGATAGCAGATTTTACTCAAACAAAGGTTTATTTTATTTTACTTGTCAAAAGCGGTAATCAAACTGATACAAACGTAAATTTCATAGTACATAAGCATTATTATATATTTTTACATATATGTTAATTGCAATTTGAAGTGTCGATTTACCACATTCTCTGCTGTTAAAGAAAACCTGCACATCTTAGAATTTCCCCAGTTGAGGTGATCGCGCGTTGGCACTTTTTTGGCCAAAAGCTCTGAGTTGCTTAACCTACTGATGTTATAGTTAGATTACAATAACTTTTAAATTATAATGTTTGGTCCGATCTAAGCAGGACGAGCTTACAGTATCTTGAAGTATTGCAGTAGTATGCTTGGGGTTGGATTTAATTTTATTATCTAATTATGGGATCCCAAGTAGATAGTAGCACCCAGCCATCTTCTCTATTGAACTTAGGATGTTTTTAATTTCAATAGCCTCGCTAATCATCCTTGGTAATTCTTAGACACACTGACAGAGACACAGACACAGAATTTTGCTAAATTTGGTACGGAATAGCATTTAATGATGTGTCCAAATTGAAGACCACGCGAACGAAGCCGCGGGTAAAAAGCTAGTTTAATATATGTATAATACTTATAGTGCATGACAAAGAAGATTACCTACTTGCTTTAGAACAATATACAATAAATAAATATAAACAACATACTTACTTATCTTCACGCACAATCCCTGACGGGGTAGCCAGAGAGAACAGATCGCCAAGTGTCACGATCCTTACATACCGCTTTCGCTTCTTTCAGATTCATTATCTTCTTCATGCATCCACGTCTAAGTATCCGAGTACTTTTGACCCTACCCTCTAAAAACAACATATAACGCATAAACATCGTTCAAGGCAAGTCACATATTTACCCTTCTCAACTTGTCTTGAACGATGATTATGCGATCTTGATTTCTTATGTGTGGATGTGGTATCACCACATCCGCACATAAGAAACTATCAACGGCCAAAAAAGAGCCAAGAGGTAAACGATGAATTATTTACATACATAAGTAATTTTATTATATATTCTGTATAAATTTTACGTTTTTCCTTAATTTGTCCGTAAACTATTATTCTTCGTCATGATTACCATTTTAAAAGTAATATTTTCAAATTAAGAAATCACTACCTACTACGTCTTTTTAACAAAAAAGTGAATGCACTTCCCAGTTTTGCAATAAGTTGCAGCGCTAAGGGCCGCGGGTTTGAATCCCGCACGGAACAAGTACATATTTATATGGTCTACAAATAATTGTTCCGGATCTGGACATTTGTCCAGTTGTGTAGATTTACACTTATGTAAACTACCCCCACGATACAGGAGAAAGTCGTAGTGTGGAGGGAACGTTTTTTAAGAAAAATAAATCAAAAGAACACTAATTGTTCACACTATTGTATGGCATGTTATGACGTCATAGAGTACTGTGAGTTTCAGTGCTGTCGGTTCTTCTTTGATAGGACCTTTTTTTGTAAACCGATGTAGATTTCGGCGACAAGTCCTTTAAACAAGGTTAATTGAAGAGTTTTCACTTTGACTTTGACCTCGACTCATTAATTACGTTTGGATCATATAAATAACGCAACAGGTAAACAGGTGTTGAGTTGTAGCAACTACTGGTGCGTCGGGTCCATGGCGGGGTATGTCGCACCACGGCATACACAGATGTTTTTAAGTGCGATACGCGTCAATAATACGTCGTACGATGTACATAGGAGCAATAGATTATCGACACATGGCGACAGACACCGTTGAATTGGCCTCTTAATAGACTTATGACGTCGTTTCACATTAAAGATTTTCCAAGACAATAAATTAAAGAACTACATCATCAATGTCGGCATAAGAAGATTGATCATGATTTTTTTTTATATAGGATAGGGTGACAAACTAGCACACAGTCCACTTGATGGTAAGTGGTTGCTGTGGCCCATAGACATCTACATCTATCCTCGTTTGCGAATCAAAGTGCAGATGCGTTGTCACCCGTGGGGACTAAGATGAAATGCCTCTTTTCCAGTAAAAAGGGTCTGCGGTTCTCTACACTCACCATACGAAACACAGCAGTTTTAAGCTGCTATTTTACGCTGGTATTCTGTGAGAGCGTGGTCCTTCCCCGAGCCGACCCATTTGTGCTACAACTATACTACTAATATAGCTGCAGTATGACTCTACCACACTATGAAAATGTATGAAAACACTTTTTATCTAATATTAATACACGTTGTATCATATTTAGACTGATAACCGAGGAACAATCTACCTGACGGTAAATGGCTACAAAATTCCATGAATCCCTGCCAATTACGCACTGCCATCCCTGAGAACTAAGATACAATACAATAATACAATACTCTTTATTGTACACCAAGAAAAGATAACAACATCAAAAAAAAAATAACAACTATTGAGGGAAATACAAAGGGCGGTCTTATTGCTACATAGCAATCTCTTCCAGACAACCCAGAAGAAGAAATAAATACAAAATAAGAAAAGGAACAATGGGTAGGGTGCACTAGAATAAAAAATAAAAAGAATAAAGACAAATAAAAATAAAATAAAGATACAAACTTATGCAATAAAAAGAAAACATTCTTCAGGCAGATCAACAACCATAATTAAGAGGATGAAGTGAGAGGAGTTAGAGAGACAAATCATCATTCATCATCATTACAGCCCTTCACAAGTCCACTGCTGAACATAGGCCTCCCCCAAAGAATGCCAGAAAGCACGGTCCTGAGCCACCTGCATCCATCGACTTCCTGCATATCTTACCAGGTCGTCACTCCATCTAGTGGGGGGACGCAGATTTATCATGCAGAGAAACTCCGAGCATAGCCCTCTCCATAGCTCGCTGAGCGACCTTGAGCTTCCTCATCCGGCCAGCAGTGAAGGACCACGTCTCAGTTCCGTATGTCATCACTGGCAACACGCACTGGGTGTACAGTCTCGTTTTCAAGTTTTGAGGTATACCTGACGAGAAGATGTGCCGTAATTTCCCGAACGCTGCCCAACCGAGTTGAATCCGTCGATTGACCTCTCGGTCGAAGTTGGACTTACCTAGTCGGACTATTTGTCCCAGGTAAACATACTCGTCAACAACTTCGAGCTTAGTGTTCCCAATAACTACCGGCATAGGTGTGACATGGACATTAAACATGATCTTTGTTTTGTCCATGTTCATCTTAAGACCTATCCGTTGGGAAACACTATTGAGGTCATTGAGCATAGTGCTTAGGTCCTCCAGCGATTCTGCCATAAGGACTATATCGTCGGCAAATCGAAGGTGAGTGATGTACTCGCCATTGATGTTGATACCGTATCCTTTCCAGTCCAGAAACTTGAAAACATCTTCCAATGCAGCGGTAAAGAGTTTCGGGGATATGACGTCACCCTGTCTTACACCTCTCTGCAATTGGATAGGTTTCGTACTCTGGTTCTGTACTCGGATAGCCATCGTAGCCCTACTGTACAAGCACTTCAACACTTCGATATACCGACAGTCAACTTGGCATCGCTGAAGGGACTGCAGCACCGCCCAAATTTCGACGGAATCAAAGGCTTTCTCATAGTCCACATACGCCAGACATAGTGGCAAATTGTACTCCTCGGACTTCTGTACAATTTGCCGAAGGATATGTATGTGGTCTATGGTGCTAAAGCCTTTTCGGAAACCGGCTTGTTCGGGAGGCTGGAAGTCGTCAAGTCTGCGCGCGAGACGATTCGTAATGACTCTCGAAAACAGCACGTAGACGCGGCTCAGAAGGGAAATCGGTCTGTAGTTCTTCAAGAAAGCGTTGTTGCCTTTCTTGAAGAACAAGACCACCGCACTTCTGCTCCACGCCTCCGGTGTAATGCCACCATGGAGGACGGAATTAAAGAGCTTCTGAAGGACTTCAAGTACCGGTTTTCCACCCGCTTTCAGAAGCTCCGCTGTAATTCCATCCTCGCCTGGGGCCTTGCCGTTTTTAAGGTGCTGGAGAGCCATTCTAATCTCGCTCAGACTGACGTCCGGGATATCATCGGAATAATGTCGGATAAGACTCGCTCTTGGATCGTTACTCACACTTGCGTGCGGCTCCAACGATGACGTGTACAGCTGCCCATAGAACCTCTCAATCTCACTCAAAATCTCAGGTGCCCCGGAAACGATGCTGCTACATTCTGTCTTCAGCTTTGACAGTTGGCGCTTTCTGGCAGACAGATCTCTGGCAAAGACTTTGGAGCCTTGGTTCCGCTCGATCGCTTCTTCAATACGAGCTGTATTGAAGTTGCGTAAGTCCCGCCGCATGCATTTGGAGATCTGTCTGTTCAGTTGCCTATATGCTGTTAAATCTGTTGAAGAATGTAGCTTCATCTCCCGTTTAACAGCCATGAGATTAAGAGTGTGATCGGAGAGTTTTTGTGTTCTTCTGCGGCGGGTCTTGCAGAACTTAGCTCCGACCGCATGGACAGTTTCCACGAGCTTGTCATTCAAATCGCCCACTTCATTGCAGTCTTCTAGGCACTGAAAACGGTTTTGTAACTCGAGCTGAAAGGTTTCGGGACTTTGGATTAGAGCACGAGGGGGACGGAGCGTTGACTTCATTAGACGAGACCTCTCCAACTTAACGTTTAGGTTCAGTGTGCCTCTAACCATTCGGTGATCGCTGCCGGTTTTCACCCTCGCGATCACTGAGACATCACTGAACAGTTGTCGTCTGGTCGTCATAATGAAGTCAATCTCATTTTTTGTCGAACCGTCGGGGCTCGACCAGGTCCACTTCCTGTGGGGCCGCTTCTGGAAGAAAGAGTTCATCATAAAGAGTCCCTCTTTCTCCATGAAGTCAGCCAACTGCTGGCCCCTTGGGTTCCGTTGCCCTATTCCAAATTTCCCTACTTTCAGCTCACCGTTCTCTCTTGTGCCTAGTTTTGCATTGAAGTCTCCCATTAACACCGTATATTGGGTTTTGGAGGAATGCATGGCTCTAGAGATATCCTCATACATTTCCTCCACCTCCTGATCGGGGTGTGCCGAGGTTGGTGCGTAAACCTGTATGACCTTCAGCGAATACCGTTTGGTGATTCTGAGTATAAGGTACACAACCCTCGTCGACACACGCTCAATCTTTACAACGTTGTTAACGAGAGACTTGTGGACGATAAATCCGACACCTCCTTGGGACAGATGGTCGCCCTCCCGGTAATAGAGCAAGTTCCCGGATTCGAGGATTACCGTGTCCTCCCCCTCTCTTCGGACTTCGGATAATCCTATAATATGCCAGCGTAACTTGTCTATCTCTTCTTCCAGCTCCCCAATCTTCTCGTCAGTCCTCAGGGTGCGTGCGTTGTATGTTGCCAGGTCGAGTCGTCGTAGGTGGCAACCGAACCTCCACCGGAGATTCTTAGCACCCCCTGCCCCACCGTTACCATGGTCGCCACCGTAGCCAGGAATAGCGGGGAGCGCCGGGGACTGGGGGCCGTTTATTATTGTCATTGCTCATGGGGGGTATATTGCCATAGTTGCCACGCTTGGCGAGCGGGTTGGCAACCGCAGTTTTTTTATTGTTATTTTGACTAATATCAGGAAGATGCTGCTGCCCATCTCCTGCCTGTTTCCCTTTGTCGCCTTTTACGACACCCACGGGAAGATATGGGGTAGTGGATATTCTTAACCGCCACTACACGGTAAGACAAGAGACAAATAGTATTCTTTAATCTGTTTCTGGAATACATTTAAGGATTGAGCACTTCTAATTGACTGGGGTAAGGAGTTCCAAAGTCTTACTCCAAGAACAGAGAATGATTTGTCATAATAAGTCGAGGAGTGCACAGGACATTGGAGGGAAAGATTTTCTTTGGATCGTAAGGAAAAATTATGACAGGAGCTGAGTAATCTAAAACGTTCTTTAAGATAGGAAGGACTAGCTATATTAAATAAGACGCAGTCTTATTTAATATAGCTAGTCCTTCCTTCCTTAGATGTGACGCGTAACAGTCTGTAATTATGGTTGCTCTCTTTCCCTTCAAATTAGAACACAGGATTGGTTGCGCTACTCTTTGGTAGCACGAATAAGTAAGAGGTTTGTATTAACCCAAACGAATTCTTAGTCAAAGGGGTCGTTAATACTTGAAACTTACGCTATCCTCCGGTTGCAGATCCTGCCACAACTCCTTTGGCACATTCAGTGGATTGGCAGCACCGCTTTTCTACCTCATCAACAAGAAAGTTATAAAGTCTGATCAGGTAAGTATCCATTAATATTACTACTTTATTGTTAATTTAAAAACTTGTGCTTTTGTACATCAAGATCGTAGTAGACGGTGCATGCTCCGATTACAAGTCCATTAACGCAGGTGTTTCACAAGTCTGCGTGCTATCACCAACGCTGTTTCTTCTGCATATCAATGATATGTTGCAAACCAGTAACATTCATTGCTATACGGACGACAGCACTGGTGACACACCGGCCGTGCCAATATTTCTCGGGAAAACATCGCGGGTACCAGAACAAACTTGAGTCTGAAGTTGAGACTTTGTTGAACAAACTCTCAGACTGGGGTCGACTAAATCTAGTCCAGTTCAATCCCCAGAAGACACAAGCTTGCGCGTTTACCGCTAAAAAGAACCCTTTTGTCGTATCTCCTCAGTTTCAAGGCCTTGTTGCCTCAGCCAGTATCGGATCTTTGGTGTCGACATATCGAGTGACGTGCTGTTTCGTGGTCACTTGGAAGAGAAGGCCAAATTGGCCTCTAAAAAGCTTGGCGTGCTCAGCAGAGCGGGACAGTATTTCATGCCGGCACACCGCTTGCAACTTTACAAGGCGCAGGTTCGGCCTCACATGGAATACTGTTCCCATCTCAGGGCAGGGGCTCCCCCGTGCCAGCTCCTTCCACTTGACCGCATACAGCGCAGAGCGGTTCGAATCGTCGACGACCGAGTTCTTTCCGATCGGCTTGACTCATTGGCACTGCGTAGAGATGTTGCATCTCTGCGTATTTTATCGCATCTATCACGGGGAGTGCTCTGAGGAATTGTTCGGCCTAATTCCAGCCGCCCAATTTCACCATCGCACATCGCGACAAAACTCGCGATACCATCCATATCATCTGGATGATTGGCGGTCCAGCACTGTGCAATTTAAAAGAAGTTTTCTTCCTCGCACAACTTCCTTGTGGAATCGATTACCACCAGCGATTTTTCCGGACCGATACGACTTAGCGACCTTCAAGAAAAGAGCCTACTCCTTTTTAAAAGGCCGGCAACGCATCTGCGATTCCCCTGGTGTTGCAGTTGTTCATGGGCGGCGGTAGTCACTTACCATCAGGTGAGCCGCATGGTCGTTTGCCCCCTCTCCTATAAAAAAAAACGTTCAAAAAGCTTATGTAATGCCAGTTGCCAGCAACTATCGGCAATTTTATTACAGCTTTAAGAAGTGAAGTTTCCGTGTTCTATAGATTATATAAACGAATGTATTATTGATGTGTAAGAGTACAGCAGATTCGTTTTCGAAAATAACAATTCGATGTGCTCTATTTTCATGGACAAAAAATACCACGCCACGTATTTTCCATCATCGAAACAAGCCTTTAAATTTGCGAACAAATAAAAAGTCTTACCGTGTTGTGGCGGTGTACGAATGACCTATATCATCCCGTAGGTGTCGTAAGAGGCGACAGAGGGGAAAAAGACAGGAGTTGGGCAGAAGCTGGTCTTCCTAATAACGACTAAAAATAAAAAAATTGCGGTTTCCAATCTTCTTGCCAAGCGTGGCAACTTTGAAAAATATCCCTCCTATGAGGCAAGTTATGGGGGAGGCCTATGTTCAGCAGCCGACTTTTAATAGGCTGTAAAGATAAAGGAGAATCTTTATAACAAACGTACGAGAATATTATCTATTTAAGGCCTACTTGTAAATATAACTGGTTGCCTACTCCTGACTTCAAACTTTAAAGCCAGGGTAGTTATCGATCATATTATATGATGAAATAGTACTAAGTTTCTATAGTAGTCTCTTACGACACACACGGGACGAAAAATGGTAATGGGTTCTCAGAAATAGTTCATTATTTGTGAAAATTATTGATTCTCTATTCTGTCTGGTTAAAGTAAAAATAAGTTACAGCCTATATAATTCCCACTGCTGGGCACAAGGCTAAATTTGCTAAGCCCCTGCTATAACGACTCTGTCTGGTTAAAAATTTTGTAATTTTCCAAGCGAATCTACTATCTTACGTAAGCTTCATCGATCGTGAAGACCGCACCGCCTAATAATCAGAAAATTTCGCTACTACCCAGTTTCAAGTTTACTTTTCTCTTTCATCTATTATTAGTTATTTCATTCGCTTGCAAATTTGGATAGAACACATTCATAACATAATTGTTATACATTAATAGTACATGAATGTATTCTTGGTTGACTAGAGCTCATAATTAGATGTACTGCAACTAACATAATACCTTTTCTCCGTTATTCAGTGCGTAAAGAACATGGGTGATTACTTCTCGGGCGGATCCTGTTTGCCCGGCGTAGACAAACCGGAAAACAATCCAAAAGGTATATATCTATTGCTTATTTATGTAAACTAAACTATATCTTTATTCTATTTCCATCATTTATTCATTCATTCATTACAGACTATCAAAGTCCACTGCAGTACATAGCCTTCCCTCATTTGAGATTGCCTCATAAGGGGGATATTTGCTATAGTTGCCACGATTATTTTGTTTCCCTCTATCGCCTCCTACGACTCCCACGGGTCGATGTAAGGCAATGGATATTCTACACTGTTACTACAGAGTTATTCTATCTTATATGTACACAATTATTAAGAAAGTATAGTTACAACTACGTGGTAGAGCCATGCTGCAGATATATTACTAGTATAGTTCTAGCACGAATGGGTCGGCTCGACCGGGGAAGGACTACGCTCTCACAGAATACCAGCGTAAAATAGCAGATTAACGCTGCTGTGTTTCTTATGGTGAGTGTAGAGAACCGGAGATCCTTTTTACTGGAAAAGAGGCATTCCATCTTAGTCCTCATGGGTGACAACGCATTTGCATTTTGATTCGTAGTCGAGGATGTAGATGTCTATGGGCCACAGCAACCACTCACCATCAGGTGGACTGTGTGCTCTTTTGTCACCCTTATCTATATAAAAAAAAAACTTCCAAACGTCGCTCTGATGAGCAGTGCTCCTCTAATTCTGAGAGGATTATAAACCTATGGAGCAGGGCAGAGTAATCCGCACTGCTCCAATGCGTGTTGGCGGACTTCATATGTCCTTAAAAATAGTTTGGCTTTCTCAGAAAAAGCAGCTTTCCTCGCGATTGTTTCCTTCCCCGCCGAGCACGTGGTAAATTAGCACCTAAAATTGTAATTAAAAATTTCATCGAGGTCGACGTAACCTAGAGCTAAAAAGAGTAGAAATATGTAAATAAAAAAAGAGTAAAATTATGTTTCTTCCCAGGTGAAGACGTCTCGAATTTGAAGAAGCGATGCTCTGGGGATGGCAGTGCGCTGCAGTGTCTGCAAAATAACGGTGACGTCGCATTCGTTTCGAGTAAGTTTTGCCGATTACGACTGCAAATTATTATTTTTTATTTTTGCTGTACCTATAAATAAACTGGCCGAAAAGAAACCTGCTATTTTGTGTGCTATGTTTAAAATTTCAAGTCTAGCTCATCGGAAGTCAAGTTTAAAATCAATTTCTAGGTAATTATTACACTATTCGACATACACGAAAGCGAGTTAATAAGAACATGGTTAAAAGAAAAAAGAAGAAAAACAAAAAGGACGACCGACGCGACACTTAATATTTTAATACCGTTTTTAAATTTAATAAATTAAAAACCGCTGTATTTTTGGACGTTATAATATCATCTCATCGAGTTCAATTTTTGGTGAAGTAATAACATAATATTATATGAACAACTTTTATAAAATAAACGGCGACATTATAATTTAGTTAGTGCTATGCTCGTTTGACTGCGTCGCTGGATGTCGTAAGGTCGATCAAGGAGAAGATAAATATTTGGTTCTATTCGTCTCATATATATTTTTATAGAAATAAGCACAGAGTCCACCTGATGCTAAGTGGATGCTGTGGCCTATATACAACTACATCCATACCCGGTTAGTTATCAAAATATAGATGCAACCCCTAAGGACTAAATGGAATGCCTCGTTTCAAGTAAAAAGGGTATTCAGTTTTCTACACTCACCATAAAAAACAGTAGCATTAAGCTGCTACCTTTTTCGTGCTACATCCATAATATATTTAAGTACACAGTTTAGCTCTAGCACATACAAATTATTATTTCTATTATGGGCCTATAACCTATAAATAAAAGTTGCTGGTCTGGATGTTGGTGCATGTGCAATTTATACTACTATAAAATGCTTCTACGACACGAGAAAATTTCCTACAACTGTTGTAGTTATTTAAAAACGTGTAACTTAATTATATAATGCAACTTAATGATTTCTTATATTTACGCGAATACTAGACATAAAATAAATCAAATTTTCTGGATTTTATCTCTATTAATTTAAGCTTTTGTTAATTTCCGACGTTTCGAGCACTACACACCCAAAGTGATAAAATCAAGGAAGTTTTATTCCAAATTAAGGAACTTATTTCTCTCGTTTTACGTATTTATAATCAACAAAATTCATATTTTACCTGTAGTTCTATTATATTTATATAAAGAAAAACATTATAGAATACAGCATAGGTACATAAATAGAGCTAGGCATATTGGAGCAGCGTATACGTAGTTGTTTTGAAAAGAAAAATAAAATACAGGCACCCGGTCGACATACGACTGTACATAATCTCCGTGATAATAGTAGGCTAAGGCCCGCCATATACATACGGAATTCCGTTTCGAGATTCCGTTTCGATATTCCGATTCGGAATCCCGAACGCAGCAAATCCATATAAAATCTATGACCCGCCACACACGTACGGTAGTTTTCCGTTCGATATTTTGCGGGCAAAACGGCCCTAAGGCTCGCCATATACATACGGAATTCCGTTTCGAGATTCCGTTTCGGAATTTCGAACGGTCGGCCACACACAAACGGAATTCCGTTTTGCCCGCAAAATATCGAACGGAAAACTACCGTACGTGTGTGGCGGGTCATAGATTTTATATGGATTTGCTGCGTTCGGGATTCCGAATCGGAATATCGAAACGGAATCTCGAAACGGAATTCCGTATGTATGTGGCCGGCCTTAACCTACATAAACTGAGGTTTTTTTTTCTATGGTTAGGTAAACTGAGTTCATAAAACAGTATATAATATGATATTTATCTATGGACTGAGGCATTGAACGCAGGGATTGAAAAGGTACCAAAAATACATTTAAAGTATGAGTATTTAGCGGCTATGATACCGGAATGATAACTTAAGACGAAACCTAAATGAGAATCGTCAGACATCTTTATTTTACCGGACACGAGCGACTCAAACTTGTCCAAATTGTTTGATTGTATATTCGATATCTTAACCTTAAGCGGAACTAGAATCGAAACAATTAGAGGAATCTTTATTATAACCAAATCCTAAAGTTGGTTTTCAATCCCTGGTTGGATTTCTACCTCATTCTTCTGTCGTGTCGAAATACAACGCGGCGCAGCACACTGGGCTTTTGTTTATAGAAAGGTTGACCAACGAATACTCGGTTCACCTGATGGTTTGAGAAACCTACGGGATCCTCGATAAAATCTAAATACAGCGTTCTCACTCTTGACGAATGTTCCTGCCTAGAAGTACGTATGACTAGATACCACCCACATAGCTATTTTTGCCGCCAAATATCAGTATTAACAGTTCTGTATTCCGGTCTCAAGGGTACCTATATAAAGCTAGTATGATTATTGTCTCTGGGGGCTTTCATCTTAGATCAGAGGTGACAATGCATCTGCCTTATTTGTTTAAAGTTGGCTTTAGGTGTCCATGGGCTCAGAAGCCACTTACCATCAGGCGGACTCTTGTTTGTTTGATGGAAGTTTGTTTGTCACTTTTTTTTAAGAAAGGAAACTAAAATATAATGCCTTCACCATACTAAACAAAGCAGCATAACATTGCTATTTCCCGCCGGCTGATCTGAGCGTGCGTGTTTCTTCCTCGAGCCGATCCATTCGTGCTATTGTCATAATTTGCTGCAGCATGACTATACCATAAATAACGTATACTTTTTTTAAATATTTTAAAATTTTCAGGCGCGGACTTATCGAAATTCGACTCGACGCAGTACGAGCTACTTTGCCTGAACCGCGAATCTGGCGGGCGCGATACATTAGCGAACTTCGTCACCTGCAATATCGCAATGGCGCCGTCGCGAAGTTGGCTGTCCGCTAAGGACTTCGTGTCGGACGTCTCGATCGCTCACGCACCGCTCAGTTTGGCACAACTCCTCGATACGAGAACTGATCTCTTCAACATCTACGGAGAGTTCTACAAGAACAACAACGTGTTCTTCAATGTGAGTTATCTTCCTTTAATTTTATACACATTTACCAGGTTTACAAGAACAATATGCTATACAATTTGAATCTTTTTTTTTATAAAATAACAATGACAAACTAGCCCACAGTCCACCTGATCTATCCTCAATTCAGAATCAAAATGTAAGACACGAAAAGATACGTTGTCACCCCTGAGGACTAAGATTAAATGCCTCGTTTCCAGTACTAGGAGGTCTCCGGTTCTCTACATTCACCATACGAAACACAGCAGCGTTAAGCTGCTATTTTACGCTGGTATTCTGTGAGAGCGTGATCCATCCCTGGTCGAGTCGACCCATTCGTGCTAATATAGCTGCAGCGTGGTTCTAATACATGTAATATCTTCTTTCTGTAAAGTAATTTTATCCCTGTTAAGCAGTTCTACAAAAGCAACGTGAACATCTTAAAATTTAAAAAAAATAATTAAAAACCCCCGAGACAAAGAGAGCTGATGACATTCAAAGGGCTCAACAGATTTTCTTAAAACATAGCTAAGAACACGCTCGATTAAGACACCTTTCAAACGAAAAAAACGTAATCGAAATCGGTTCATCCGTTCAGGAGCCACAGACATACACAGTGTGTATCTGTGTGTCTGTCTGAGACTTCATAGCTCCTGATGATGCAGAGATACACAGATACACACTACAAACTTATAGCACCCCTCTGCTTTCGACGGGGGTTAAAAACAATAATAGTGCTAAGTCTCAGAAAAACCTTTTACTTCTGTACATATTACTTCAATGTTCCTTTTATGCTTTTTGCACCCTTCTACATTTTATACTTAATTTTTCTCTGTTCTACGTGGTAGAGCCATGCTGCAGCTATATTAGTAGTGTAGTTGTAGCACGAATGGGTCGGCTCGACCGGGGAAAGACCACGCTCTCACAGAATACCAGCGTAAAATAGCAGCTTGACACTGCTGTGTTTCGTATGGTGAGTGTAGAGAACCGGAGACCCATTTTACTAGAACGGGTGACAACGCATCTGCATTTTGATTCTTTATTGAGGATAGATGTAGATGTCTATGGGTCACAGCAACCACTTACCATCAGGTGGACTGTGTGCTCGTTTGTCACCCTATCCTATAAAAAAGTCAAGATTTGGGAACTGTGTAGATTTAACTTGCATTTGGTCAAGAAACAGGTTACAGAACACTATTGTCTCGTGTAACTTTACCTCTCTCTCTCTCCTTTCATTTATATCTTTTGTAAGTGCGCATTATACCTTAATCTCATTTTCTTCCTTTTTATTTCTTTTTGTAAGTTATCCTAGGTGGTAGGACTTCTTTCTGCCTAGAAGACCGTCTGAGTAGGAACCACTCTCTTACCTTTTTTTGGCGCCAAACAGCCGTGCTTGCACTTCTTTGTTCCGGTCTGAAGGGTATATATAGCCTACTGACTATATCATTACAGGCTGAGTGACATACCATCTTAGTCCTCAGAAATAGCATATGCTAAAGCATCTGTTGCCTTCTTTATTTGAAGTAGGCTACTGGTGTCCATGGACTGCAGTAGCCACTTACATCAGTTGAACTGTAAGTTCGTTTGTCACTTTATGGAAGAAATTCGTCGCCAATAAGACCGCCTTTTCTTTTGTTTTGTATATCTTAGTTGTTTTTTTCCTTGAGTATATAACAAGTATCCTATCATACCGTTACCGTTACAGCCTATTAATGTCCAATGCAGAACATAGACCTCCCCCATACATTGTCTCATAGTTGGTATATTTGCCATAGTTACCACGTTTGGCAATCGCACCTTTTTATTTTTAGTCGTTATTAGGAGGATGCTGCTGCCCATCTCCTGATTTGTTTCCCTAAGTCGCCTCTTACGACACCCACGGGATGATATGGGGTAGTGGATATTAAAGCCCCATCGTATTTTCATGTCAATTTTATATTTAAAAAAATCACCCATGGTATGATATGGGGTAGTGGATATTATTACACTGCCACTAAACTGTGTTGAGAAAGATCATATTTCATGCCAATTTTACATTCACAAATAAACAGAGCTTTTCTCTTTTATATAAAATGAATTTCCATATTAACAGCCTGTTATTTTACAGAATGCTGCAAGGGGATTGGCGACTACCGAAAAATTGGATTTCGAGAAATTCAAGAATATCCACGACGTGCTCAACACATGTGGCGTCGCCTAAAACGTTATACTCAATATAGTTTATTTTATAATCAACTTAAGTAACTTGACTGTGTAGTTTCATATAAGATACAAAACAAAAAAATAAGGTCTGAATTTTTTTTAATTCATAATACTTATAATGACAACATAATAATTAATATCCATAACAATTTATATTATACTTAGGTAACTTGACAGTAGTTTTTTTTTTAAAATACAAAATAAAAAGCTAAGTCCGATTTTATAAAATTTTATTATACTTATAATGAGAACAAATAAATAATATTCAATACAATTTCAATTGTGTTTTTCTTCTATATGTTCATTGATACTTATAACGCAGCAAGGAGTAACGTAATAGCGGTGGCAGTAGCTAACATAACATATCCTGTAGTGTAGACCTCTTTGATAGTCAAACCTTTGGCCGTGTCCCAGTATAAATGTCTAATTCCATTAGCAAAATGGTAGCCAAATGGAGCGGCAATTATTGCCTTGGCCAAGAAAAGTGTTGCAGGAGACAAATTCAAACCTTCAATCATTGTAATGTAGTGAGATACATCATTAGGTAATACCAAAGCTCCAATCCCCAGGGCGCTGATATAACCAGACAGCATCATACCTAAAACGGAAATGTAAAGTAAAAAACAAAGCATGATACTATGTTATAGACAAAGTTTATCGGCCAAATTGGCGATGGTGAACATAGGCAAAATTAACAGTAAACCGATGAGCATATATGCTGAGGTATATAGATGTGAAGGAGATGAGAGGTGTGTCAGGATTATGCCAAAAGGAAGTCCATTGTATCTTCCTACCACTATGGGTGGGAGTATGTGTATGTATGTATGTATGTATGTACGTATGTATGCATGTACTATGTTATAAATGTGGAACATACTTATAATTGGGTATTTCACTTTATCACGAGTATATCCAGGCAGTATTTAGTCCATACAAATGCATTCCTGTATTTTCTTCCTGAATAATGACACTATACAGATATATTTTTTTATAATACAATCTATATCTACCACTGCCATTGTCCTTTGTTTATTTTTTCGTAAATTAATTATTTTAAAAACTAAGAACTTCTAAAATTAATAAAACCAGTTACCCTAGTTATGTACCGCCATTTATAAGACATGTAGCATATTGTTCATGAAAGTTATTAAAATTGGTCCAGTTTAGAAGGCCGAAGAAGGGACATACGTAATGATGGTTTTGTAAATTTTTCATTGGTGTAATTAGTCTGAATTTGCACATACTAAACCAATTATTCAAATTTCTTTCTCCTCGAAAATCGTCTTCATAATAAACTACTACATCATATAATTTAATTTTGTTACTTTTCAGCATCTCAGGACATAGCCAGTTTTCAATGTTAATTTAAATTAAATTATTATTTAAAAATATACAGATGTCTTATATTTTTAACTATATGAAATTAAGACATCTTATATTGGAATTCCTCAAGCTCCCCCTTATGGCCAGCAGTAAAGGGCCACATCTCGTTTGAGATAAGGTTTGTTTTAAGATTTTTAGGAATACTCCACAAGAATCCAACAGCGGAGTTGGACTAATGGACTGACCTCATGGTCGAAGTTGGACATAGCTAGCCAATTTGGTCTAGATACACATACCCAACAACTTTTGAGTGTAGTGTCTTTGCTATGCTTTAATTCATATTAGATATCCTTATCTCACATAGTCATTTACCTGTTACTAATCAGCACTATTAAAGACTAATTTATTGAAAATGTAAATATAATGAAAAACATCTATACAAATAAATAAAATTGAAGTGTCTGTTTGTAATGTCAAAATTACAGCTTTTTACTAAATGCATATGAAAGTATATATGGTACTAATAACAAAAATACAATTTTTATAGTTTTTGTCTATCTGTCTGTCTGTTTGTTCCTGCTAATCTCCAAAACGGCTACACTGATTTTGACGGCATTTTCACTGGCGATAGCTGATGTCACAAGGAGTAACTTAGGCTACGTTTATCTAAGAAAAAGAAAAGAATTAGGGTACCGCAGAAAAAAATTAAAACCCCAAATAACAAGCTGAACAGCTAGTCTATACAAATAAATAAAATTGAAGTGTCTGTTTGTAATGTCAAAATTGCAGTTTTTTACTAAATGCATATGAAAGTAAATACGATACTATAACTAAAATACAATTTTTAAAATTTTTGTCTGTCTGTCTGTCTGTCTGTCTGTCTGTTTGTTCCGGGTAATCTCCGAAACGGCTGGACCGATTTTGACGGGACTTTCACTGGCAGATAGCTGATTTCATAAGGAGTAACATAGGCTACTTTTATTTTAGAAAAAGAATCAGCGTTCCGCGCAGAAACATAAAAACCCTAACACGCGAACGAAGTCGCGGGGAACAGCTAGTATTAAATAAATAAGTACATTAAATTATGTTATTTAATTTAATTATAATGAAACAGAAAAATTGATCCAATGGTTTTAGTGATAATCCTATGAAAATATCATAAAGAAAAATATTTGCTAATTTGCACTGGAGCAGTACAAAAGGCTCTATCCTGCTCTTTATACCATTATAAAATAAGAGTAAACATTTTCCAACAATGGAAAATGTCTAGATCTAGAGTATAGTTTCGTTCTTTTAGTCCACAATTTACGTTTGCAAAACACCTCAATAAGTCTAATGAATTCACTTACACTGCCATTACATTAAAAATCAATATAATACGAGTATGTATAAACATTAAATATGAAGAAAAGCGTAAGTTGTACAGTCTTTTTCTAAAACTGAGTCTTGATAACAGAATGATGGATATATTATATAAACAAAACAAATCAATTATCTAATTCATTCAAAACTTTATAAATTTTAATTATTAAATTAGTGTTGTATCTATTAGGTGGTAGGATTCTTTTCTACAGACTTCAAAAAGCAGACGGTGCTCAATTCGACTGTATGTTTTTTTATGTGTGTTACCTCATAACATTTTACTGGGTGAACCGATTTCGATGATTCTTTTTTTATTTGAAAGCTGGTGCTTCACATGTGGTCCCATATAAATTTGATCAAGGTCTGACGAATAGTTTTTGAGTTATTCTTAATAATTTATATTATATTTTAAATTATTCTTTCTAGAAGTTCATCTGATAATTACCATTTTCTTTTCTATTTTTAACACCAAATAACAGAACTTGCACTGTGTCCTGGTCTGAAAGGTTGAAAGGTATAGTAGCCAGTACAATTACAGGCGGTCTGGCATTCCATCTTAATCTGTAGAGGTGACAACACACCGATAGCCTTCTTTTTTAAAGTTGGCTGGAGCTGCATGTGACCATGGACAGCTGTAGTCACCATCAGGTGGATTGTAATTTTGTTTGCCACTTCCGTTTTATGAAAAAAAATGGATTAAGGTAAATTAAAAAAAATCTGTACAAAACAACAGTAAGAATAGTCATTATTAGCCCACATCATTCCATGGGTGCCGTAAGAGGCGACAGGGGCACACAAATCAGGAGAGGGGCAACAGCGTCTTCCTCCTAATTACTAAAAATAAAAAAACTGCAGTTGGGAACCAAATATCCCTCTATGAGACACCTATGGGAGACGCCTATTAAGAACAATGGACTTTAATAGGCTGTAACGGTATGAAACAACTAATTAAATCTTTCCAAATTGCCTAAATACGGGACGGTAATTATTTAATAATATGTTGTATGTTGGGAGCTTAATATACATTCTACACTTACTATTGAAATAGTCATACCTGCAACTCGATGCGTGATGGACAAGATACTTGTCAGTTGGGGTGAATATATAGTAAGATGGGGAGACAAAGGTCGATTCAGGCGAGCATTTTTGTCATCATAATGCTCAGGTTTAGGTGGTTCAAATTTTTTGAACGTAATTTTAGGAACAGAAGCTGCTTGCGCATAATGGGCAGTATTCAACGCCAGTGGCAACCTTCCTAAACCAGCCAGAACTGGCTTAGCACTTAGTCTGAAAGATAAGCATTAACATTAGTAAACAAGTTACAACTTCTATTGTATTACATAATAACCATAATATGACCACATACCTGCCACAACAATAAAAAGCCATCGGGAAGATTTCACTTTTATGATTTCAGAAAAAGTATGATTATTATTATTTTAAAATGTCTAAGGTTAGACTTTGGCTGCTATTGGTTATTTTATTTTTCCCTTTCTGCATACATACGGAAAGAGAACTTAGTTTAGTGACACTATGACAGTGACAGATTGGGAAATGACAGCAGTCATGTCAAATTATGTCGTATGTCATAACAGGTCGTGACCAATCAAAATGTCTGAATCGATTCGAAATTACGAAACGCATTTGTAAAGAAAGCTTCTGAAAATTGTTTGTATATATTTTTTAAGATAAATAATGGTACAATTTTATTATCATTTTTTTTATTATTTTAGATACACGACAATTATTTTAGTAAAATATAAAGTTTATCTTCATTTTGTAGTTAGGAATAAAAATTACTAATAAACAAATCAATAATTTTATAAATGACTTTGTAAACAGTTTGACTTTGACGTAAAAGAAAATTGAAAAACCAAAACACCTCGAAAGTCGAAACAACTCTGAACTCAGATCCTAGGTTTTTTATATTAAATGTTTCGTTTATTAATTTTGACGACTATTGTAACATCTTTTAAGTACAGGACAGTTACAACAGTTGCAGCTATGTCTATTAAAAGTGTAGACTTTGAAATTTTTGGTCGGGTCCAAGGAGTCTTCTTCCGAAAGGCAAGTAATCATAAATGGAAGCAATATAAGATATTTAAGAAAATATGTTATATATTGCTTGCGTCCCTCAATGTACATGAAAGTGTCGAAGGAAAAATAAAATAATAAAATATTTTTTATTCAATATAGATCACATGTATGTAATTCTTAACGAAAGTCAGTTTTTATTTTACCACTGGTTCGGAAAAAAATCTCTGTCCTGGTAAGAACCAGCAGGAAACCCAGTGAGACTCTATTTACAAAATTTATTTTAGAAGCAACTTGGAAGCGACCACCTCATTCCCAAGGGTTATTATCAACCATGTATTCATTTCTATTATAATAACCCTTTTTATACAGTTTTTGTTTAGTAAAATATTTAAACTTCGTAATAGAGAAGCCTTGTATATTTTCTGAGACTGTTGTAATAGCATACATACATTATCCCAACAATGAATTATTGACTTTGTGGAGTCGAGAAACTGGTATCACTAGCTTGTGTTTGTTTCTTGTGTTTACAGAGTGTATATCACTTGTTTACTAAAACTACTTTTTTTGTGAACATACATTAAATTTTCATTTATACAGGGTTATTTTGCAATTACCGGCCAAATTTGCAGAGAAGGTTCAGTATAAGTAATATAGGCAACATTCTGTCATTATTATCTCTTAAATTCAAAATATGTGGTAATGCATTATTTTAACTGACTTTCATTAATGATTTCTTATATTTACGCTGACTTTCATTCATAAATATCTAACATTTACTATTTTATGCACACATACATTTGTAAGGGTACCTTGTAGCACATCTCCCCCGCTCTTTTTTTTTAATTTAGCATTACATTGCTAAGTACCAGCGTCTACTCGCCCAGCCAAGCCAACAGCTGAGTGTTGACTGTGACCACATTACATAGGCTTTGTTACCAATGACGTAAAAAAAATATTCGAACTATGGGTACTATGAAATGGTACAATATTACAGTATTTACCATGTTTGTCATTTTAAGTGATTGCATATTTAAGTTGTAAAATTATGATAATAAACATATTACGTGTTCTTAACAGCGTTCGCGTGGACTCAAACGGCTGAGGTGGACAATATTCGGCACTATTTGCACTGCCTATTATCCTGCATATTAAGTTAAAAATATTATTAACCAGCCAGTCCGGTTTGAAACGCTTTCAATTCTAGATGCCGCCTGAATAAGCTTTATTTAAATTGCGTCAACCTATCATCGGATTAGCTCAGCTATCTTTTCTACAACTAATTATTTACATTTATTCTCCACCTCTTTCCTTCACTCTGTAGTGTAAACTTGTATTTCAAACTGTCTTTTGTGTGGGAGTAAAAAATAGATTTAATTTGTGGAGTGTAGAATTTTTATTTGCATAGCATCCATCCCACATGCCGTAAAATACATAATACATAAACATACATAAACACTCACGCCTGTCACCCAGAGGGGTAGGCAGAGACTACGGACTTCCATTTGGCGCGATCCTGACACACCTCTCTCGCCTCTTTTACATCCATATATCTACGCATACACGCTCGTCGGTTAAGGGTACTCCTAATCTGGCCCATTTTTAATGTATCGCCGATTTGGTCGATAAACCTTCGTCTAGGGCGTCCCTTCCCGACCCTGCCGTTCACTTCCGTAACATAAATTTGCTTTGTCACTCTTTCCTCGTTCATTCTTTCTACATGACCAAACCACCGAAGCATTCCTTTCTTAATCCTTGTCACAACGTCATCTTGCAAACCACACTTTTCTCTTATCAGACTATTTCTCACCCTGTCATTCAGATTTAGCCCTAGCATACATAGCATACATTATGCCGTAAAATGTAAAAAGAAAATATATTTTATTTATTATGACGTACCTAAGCCCGTTTAAAGTATGAAGGGAAAATTGGAATCATAGTATTGAGTGTGTCATTAAGGAAGTAAATAGTAGGGAAAGGCTCCGTATATTGACTCGTACACACACAAGCGCGCACTGTTATTGCCCATAAATCACATTCAATTTCGGATATTTTGAAATAAATGTATAAACCTTATTTACGCGTATTTTTAAAAACTGCAAAAAGTATTTATATTTTGAACTTAATTATTAAATTTGGCTAGTCTTTGAAAAATAACCCTGTATACTGAGGGGCTAGTTAGTATATTTATTTCTTTAAATGTTTCTCTAAGAGAGAAGACTCAGTTATAGGTTGTAAACAGTTCTTATGGCCCTCTTTGGTAAAAGTATAGACATCCGGTACTTGCATACAGGGGTGGGATGGGGAGGGGGGGAAGGGTGTGAGTTCAGGGGGAGCCCCCTACCGTTCCCCCTTTGTGGAAAAGTATACATGTACATTATGCGATGGATAAAACTGGAATAAACTAAGTTAGCTGCTTCGACACTAGTGAGATCTCTAATCTTCTTTACAGTATAAGCTGCAGGGCTTAGTCTGCTTGCTAGTTTGGATACATGGTGGCCCTACTGAAGCTTTGTGTCGAGAGTGATGCCAAGAAAAACAGAGGATTCAACAGGGCTCAGTTCTTCCCCATTTAAAAACACGTTGGTATTCAGATTTTAACATTCACAACAACACAACACAAACACTCACGCCTGTCACCCAGAGGGGTAGGCAGAGACTACGGACTTCCGGAGAATTGGGCCTTGAGGGACACCCATTAGTACAGGTGACCTCGAAGAACCTTTACCATTGGTAATGAATTTCTACTTTCTATTACATAAATTATGAAATAATAAGTTTAAGGGCTGTGTTCTTGACACCGTAGTGCTGTAGCTTTCTGATTATTGTCTCATGGTGAACACAGTCTAAGGCCTTGCAAAGGTATATCCAAAGCATTATGCACAAAAAATATGTTTAATAAGGTCAACTCCGGCGTCAGTTGTCGAGCGATCCCTTGTAAAACCAAATTGATTTTTATGAAGCAATTATTTATATTAAAATCTTAACATCGGATCTAAAATTATTTTAACTTTACTATGTTTAATTAAATCAGGAAACACACCAGATTCGACGCTTGTGTTAAAATAGTAGCTAGATAAGTTGCTATTGTATCTATTATAGATGCAATAACTTTAATGGAAATCCCCCATAAGTTTGCCCTTTTCTTAAAATCAATAGTTTAAAAGAATTACGATATCTTTTGGCATTACTCTATGGAATTTAAAAGTATTTTAACAAGCCTTTACATTTGGTGAAGCAATAATTCGGCGACAGTAGGAGAAGAATTTAAGATTTTGTTGTCAAAAAAAGGAACATCAGTAAAATGTTTCTTAATGCTATAGCAACTTTTTCATCAGATTGAGTTAAATTATTGTTAATATTCAATTGAAGATCCGAGTTGCGTGGTTTGACCTTGCCAATTTCACTATTAATTATACTCCACGACATTTTAATATTATTGGATGCAGTTTTCATTTTGTTGCTTAAATATAAAGCCTGAGAGCTATGGATAAAAATTTTTAATATCTTAGAATACGTTTATGCATACTCTCTAAATATAACACTAAGTACACACATAATACATGATCTTTCACTATAAAGCTTGTATAACCTTCGCCTTCTTTTATAAATTCCCACTGTCGCCCATTCATTAAATGATTTGCGACTCTTTAAAGATAAAGTTTGAGAAGTAAATATTCTTCTAAATTCACAACTTCTAAATAACGCACCATAGAAATAATCAGCACTATATTTATATGAAAGTGACTTCCAGTCTTCTTACTATATTACTTCTAAACCTCTCCAAGCGATGTTTATTTATTGGAACAAACACAACTTTCTCATTTTTCTGTTTTTTGTCTATGTGAGGCAATGAGATGAGATCGATTATAGAAAATGCTAAAAAATTTTATGGACTCCGGAAAACGGAAAATTTATAACGTTTAACGTTTTTTATCTATAACCATCCCATAAATTCATACCCAAAGCATAATACAGAGACTGGTGCCGAAAAATCATGCGAGACATTTAACATTGTAATATACAATTGTAAATTAATCGGGCTATTATGGCAAATCCTGCACTAGGAAAGGCCAAAAATGATTTCTTTACAGACTGATGAAAAATCCATGCAGTGTTATTTTAAAACTACGAGTATGTATGTTGTTTAAAAGTCAGTTTCTAAACAAAAATAGGAAGATATGATACTAAGCAGCAAAAATTAGACCACAGTAACTTCATTTAACAGAGTCACTATCACGTAGTTGCGGTTACACTATTTTCGCTTACACGTGTACATTGTTCTCAAAATTATAATTGAAGATCTCTATTAATTACACATAAAATAGATCTTATCACTTTATCTCACAGTTGTGTTGTAAAATGGTATAGAAGTAAAAAAAAAATGTAAAAAAATTGGTTTTGCATCAAAACTTTAAGAAATGGAAGATAAAGAGTTACGAACTTTCTTATGTAAATTTGCAACATTTTCTTATGTTGTTACAACATTGCGGTACACTGTGTAGTGGCGGTGTAAGATTATCCACTACCCCATATCCTCCTGTGGATTTCGTAAGAGGTGACAAAGGCGAACAAACATGAAAGATAGGCAACAGTATCTTCATAATAACAACTAGAAAATAAAAATCTGCAATTGCCAACTCGCCTGCCATGTGTGGCAACAATAGCAAATATCACCACTATGAGACAATCATTAATAATCTAAATCTAAAAAAGAGAAAATAATAATGATGATTTTGCTAACAGTTTTAAAATTTGTTACAGTATACAAAAAAACAAGCTGACAAATTAGGTCTTAGAGGTTGGTGCATGAATACATCGAAAGGAACAGTTCAAGGACAAATTCAAGGACCATCTGACAATGTTGAGTCAATGTGAGTTAATTACATAATAATATTTTAATCAAATGTCAGTTATTGAGCTTTTCCATTAAGAAATTCTCAGTAGATCCCCGGAGTTAGGAAGTTGGCGGGGTCTCGCCTACTGCCTCAGAAAACATGTAAAGCTGTTGTTCCTGTGCTTGATCTCTCTCCGGTTGTGTCGGATTATTTTCTCATCGGACAATGACAGTTAAGGAATAGAGAGTGCATCTGTGCTTGCGCATACATTTGGGCACAATAATCCTGTCCTACGCCGATGGCTAGTCTCCCGTTGAGGCTGGCCGCCGTGACCGAAATTCGGTCTGGAGGACATTATTATTATTATTTGTTATAGTTTTTACGTTTTCTCAGTTTGTTTTTAACAAAGCTGGATTAATGGTTACTGCCATGGGACTAAGCCAAGTTGGTAGTATGAGCGTTTGGTTATGGGTAGTTTTCTGGTGAGATAAACTTTCTAACTATTCACAAGTGTTAAGTAAAACTGCTTTTTGCAATTGAATAAATGTAAGTTTTGGTAAATGAAGTGTTTTAATGATTGATAAAGCACTTTTAGTATTACATCAGCTGTAGAGAGAACGAGAAAGGTGTTATGTAAATTCCACATTCTAATAAGTTCATGTTTTAATTCAGTGTATTTGGAAATTTTTTCATTAATTGTTGTCGGTAAGTTATGTGAATTAGGTAGTCCATTATCCTTCAGCAATTTGCTACTTGATGATGATAATGAGGAAGGTAAAGACTGGTGTAAAGTGTATGGTATTGATTTTTGCTCATCATTTTTGGGGGTATATAAATTATCAGAATCAGTAAAGGTATCGGTGTCAGTGGATCTCGCTTGAGTCGTTTGACGGGAAATCTTCCGCACCCGGAGAGGACCTCGGCTTCCGCCAGAGTCGACATGGTTTCTGGATCTGCCAGAAACTAGGAGCCGTAATTCTTGCACTTTGTGCAATGCGTATTTTTTTCAGCATAGTTTGGAAAAGGTATAATAAGCAGATAGATTATCCTCGCTTGTTATTATTACACAGTATAGTTGCAGTTAAGTACATGCCTTTCCCTTATCCCCCCCCCCCCCCCATGACAAAGTGATCCATGGGGGGGGGGTATCATTATTATTATTACTATTTTAGTAAACTAATCACAACATCCATATTACTATTCACTACTTTGTTAAGGTCTTATTAGTTAAACAAAGACTTTATCGTTCATTATAATATGTAATGATTGATTAAAATTTATATTCAAATTATAATCATTGAATAAAGTTTTGTTTTAGTTTTCTAATTTCCTCTAACGGTCTAATTTTCTCATTTCTCCTGAAGAAATCCAAGGACAGTTCACAATCCTAGTAATTGTCCATATAACTAGTATGGTCACAAAGACATTTAAGTAGTAGTAGTTTATATTTTAAATCTCTTTGTATGGTCATAAGTTTTGGTTACAGAATGAAAGTTCTATTTTTTTCTTCTTTTATTAAAATTATGTAAAAGTGTCATTTGTCAAAACATGTCATTTTAATTTTATCGGATGCAGTTTTAATTTGGTTGCTTAAATGTAAAGCCTTAGCTGTGGAGCATACTTTTTTTTAAATTTTAGAATATGTTTTTACATTCTCTCTGATTATATGGTCTTTCATTAAAAAGCTCGCGTAACTTTCGTCTACTTTTAGAAATTCCTACTGTCGCCCATTCATTAAATGATTTGCGACTGTTTATAGAGAAAGGGGGTCATTGTAGAAGCGTGCTCGTCGCGACCCCTGCCAGCCCTTTTCAGGGCTGCAATTCTACTCAGCTGCGCACCCATGCCAACGAGGGTTAGGGCGTCCCCCCAAGGTGACGCACACCAGCTCGTCCCCGTTGGTGTGGAATGCAGCGCGCAAAGCGGCGATGGGGACCGCCACCCGTCACGCACAGCCCGACACGGCGGAAGGTGGAGGACAGAGTGCAGAGTTGGCACGTGGAATGTTAGAGGAGGCATGAGAGATAAGACGAATGAGTTGATCGAAATAATGAAAGAAAGAGAATTAGATGTCGTGTGTATGTCGGAGACCAAACGGAAGGGCAGTGGTACTGAAGAGCTCCCTGGCGAGGCGTTAGCTCTATGATCCGGAGTCCCGGAGAGCGAGAACGCCTGCCAGGAAGTGGGGGTGCTGCTGTCTTCTCGGTTGGTCGATGTTATGACTGAATATAAGGTTGTGAACTCAAGACTTCTCTGGGTTCGCTTAAAATTGGGACTGACGAAGTTATTCCTTTTGGCTGTTTATGCGCCGGTAGCTTCTTCGTCCAGGGCTGAGCTGGAGGAGTTTTGGGAGAATGTAAGAGAAGTTCTAGATTTGGCTAGGGGAAATGAAAGAATTGTTCATCATCATCATCATTACAGCCCTTCACAAGTCCAATGCTGAACATAGGCCTCCCCCAAAAATGCCACAAAGCACGGTCCCGAGCCACCTGCATCCATCGACTTCCTGCATGTCTTACCAGGTCGTCACTCCATCTCGTGGGGGGACGCCCTACACTTCGCCTACCGGTACGAGGCCGCTACTCGAGAACCTTTCTTCCCCATCGGTTGTCGGTTCTTCGAGCTATATGGCCGGCCGACTGCCACTTCAGCTTACTAATCCGTTGGGCTATGACGGTTACTCTGGTTCTACTGCGGATATCCTCATTCCTAAGTTTATCACGCAGAGAAACTCCGAGCATAGCCCTCTCCATAGCTCGCTGAGCGACCTTGAGCTTTCTCATACGGCCAGCAGTGAAGGACCACGTCTCAGTTCCGTAAGTCATCACTGGCAACACGCACTGGTTGTACAATTAGGTTTTAAGGTTTTGAGGTATGTCTGACGAGAAGATGTGTCGTAGCTTCCCGAACGCTGCCCAGCCGAGTTGAATCCGTCGATTGACCTCTCGGTCGAAGTTGGATTTACCTAGTCGGACTATTTGTCCCAGGTAAACATACTCGTCAACAACTTCGAGCTTAGTGTTCCCAACAACTACCGGCATAGGTGTGACATGGACATTAAACATGATCTTTATTTTGTCCATGTTCATCTTAAGACCTATCCGTTGGGAAACACTATTGAGGTCATTGAGCATAGTGCTTAGGTCCTCCAGCGATTCTGCCATAAGGACTATATCGTCGGCAAATCGAAGGTGAGTGATGTACTCGCCATTGATGTTGATACCGTATCCTTTCCAGTCCAGAAGCTTGAAAACGTCTTCCAATGCAGCGGTGAAGAGTTTCGGGGATATGACGTCACCCTGTCTTACACCTCTCTGCAATTGGATAGGTTTCGTACTCTGGTTCTGTACTCGGATAGCCATCGTAGCCCTACTGTACAAGCACTTCAACACTTCGATATACCGACAGTCAACTTGGCACCGCTGAAGGGACTGCAGCACCGCCCAAATTTCGACGGAATCAAAGGCTTTCTCATAGTCCACATACGCCAGACATAGTGGCAAATTGTACTCTTCGGACTTCTGTACAATTTGTCGAAGGGTATGTATGTGGTCTATGGTGCTAAAGCCCTTTCGGAAACCGGCTTGTTCGGGAGGCTGGAAGTCGTCAAGTCTGCGCGCGAGACGATTCGTAATGACTCTCGAAAACAGCACGTAGACGCGGCTCAGAAGGGAAATCGGTCTGTAGTTCTTCAAGAGAGCGTTGTCACCTTTCTTGAAGAACAAGACCACCGCACTTCTGCTCCACGCCTCCGGTGTAGACATGCGCGCCGCGCCGGCGCCGCCGCGCCACGCCGCGCCCTGCCCACGCCGCGCTGCGCCGACAAATCCGATCGGCGCGCCGTGAACCAACGCAGGACGGGCGCGCGGGCGCGGGGTCAATAAAACCATGCAATTATTTAAGAAATCAAAAATCAATAAAAAAATGTAAAAAGATCGTAAAAATCGTTCGGTATCGCTTACCGGAATTGAAGCGAGCGGCGGAAATAGAACAAATTAAATTTTTACAGTCTCTGGAGCGCGTATCAGAACTTTCAGTATGTATATAAAAACTACTCTGTGATCAGAACATTTGCTACTAGGACGCCTAGTGAGCGCGTTTTTTCTATAGTGGGACTAACTGTGACTGCTAAAAGATCTAGACTAAGCCCAGTACACGTTAATAAAATTATTTTTATTCATTCAACATACATACATTGTGCAAAAACACAATTTTAATTTCCTATAGTTTGTGCAAGAAACAAAAAAATGTGCTTTTTCGTTTTGCACAAATTATAAGGTAAAATTAATTAGAACTTCTTTGGTTTGTTTTTATTTTGAGAAATTAAATTTGAATTCCTATCCAGGTCTATGTTTCACTTGTTACTACCTTATTTTAAATAAATGTTTATAAAAATTAAAATAAAATACGGCCGCGCCGGCGCGGCGTCGCCACGCCGACCACAATGGGTCGGCGCGCCGCCGCCGCCGAATTCTTGCTCGGCGCGCATGTCTACTCCGGTGTAATGCCACCATGGAGGACGGAATTAAAGAGCTTCTGAAGGACTTCAAGTACTGGTTTTCCACCCGCTTTCAGAAGCTCCGCTGTAATTCCATCCTCGCCTGGGGCCTTACCGTTTTTAAGGTGCTGGAGAGCCATTCTAATCTCGCTCAGACTGACGTCCGGGATATCTTCGGAATAGTGTCGGATGAGACTCGCTCTTGGATCGTTACTCACACTTGCGTGTGGCTCCAACGATGACGTGTACAACTGCCCATAGAACCTCTCAACCTCACTCAAAATCTCAGGTGTCCCGGAAATGATGCTGCCACATTCTGTCTTCAGCTTTGACAGTTGGCTCTTTCTAGCAGACAGATCTCTGGCAAAGACTTTGGAGCCTTGGTTCCGCTCGATCGCTTCTTCAATACGAGCTGTATTGAAGTTGCGTAAGTCCCGCCGCATGCATTTGGAGATCTGTCTGTTCAGATGCCTGTATGCTGTCAAGTCTGTTGAAGAATGTAGCTTCATCTCCCGTCTAACAGCCATGAGATTAAGAG